TACTGATAGGCTGCTAGGGATGGACCTTGCTTTTATGAGAAGGATCACTAGTAGGAGGAGTAATAATGTGCAAAGCCTTCTATTTCACTTGACAGGCCAAAGTCACCTGATTGGGTATGATCTAAGGTATCTGCATCGCGAAACGCCTCTACATCTCGCTCACCTGTAGATGTACAGTTACTAGGATATCCTGGCGGTAAATCGACCGCACAGTGGCTTGAAAGTGTCACCTTTGTTAGGGGAGAGGGGAGTAATATTTTTATTTGGGGCGTTCAGTGTGCATATCATATCCACATACACATAGATTTACCTCTTGCAAGCTTAGTCCCTAGCGTATGTATCTGTTTCATAAAGGGGATTCAATTGAAGTGTTGGGTTTTCGCATCTGATGACGCCACGCGGATAGTCAGCGCCCAGGATCTGTGTGTATGTTTGACTGTCTTTTATGTTGCTCCAACGGCGCTAAGATTAGGGGTTCAGAGCAGGGGGCTTCAACATCACCGTCAGTCGTTTGGCTAAAGCTGCAGCTGACAGGGATGTAATGGACAGAAAATCATCGTGTTTTTGCAGCCATCGTAAACCTCTGTTCTGCGTTGTATTCCTTGCCGGTGACTGCCTTCGGTTAAAATTCACAATGGACATAACTGACGTCATATCAGGTCAGAGGCCGTTTCCTGGTAAGCTAGTGCCATGCAGGCGATCAAGGTTTTTCCTTGCGAAGTACCTCGCCGACGTTCAATTATAGGTGGTTTGATGTTGACTCTCTCATTAGCAGATGATAGGGTTGGGTTGTTGTGACGTCTGTTTGTGTTCTCGTTGCTAGTGGGACGTGGCTCAGCACATAGAACGCCTCGGACGCCCCTATCGTTTGTTCTTGTGGTGCATTAGTTCGTTTGTAATACCTCAGCTCGCTCATTTCCTCCCTTAATCCTCCATGGAGGACCTCAGGCTTCCGATTTCCGGAAGGAACGACTATGTCACACTTAGTGGCTGGGGTCTAGTCGGTCTCACAAAAGGTGGGGAGCTTCTACTAAGCTTTACACCTGCTGCAACGTTTGGTGTTGTGGTCCTGTTACATGTTAGACCTGCAGAGTTGTTTCCGTTATCATCAACGTTTACTGGCTTATCTGACAGAGTGCTTTTTCCCCGGGCATAACCTCAGTATAAGTTGGCGCAGCTACGCCGTTGCAAGGGGAACCTGCCTTTGGCGTTACCAACACTTGGGTACTGCTGATGCACTGTTCCACCGATAATTGTGTCCATGCCTTTTTACATTCATTAACCATTCCCAGTTGCATGCCTGATGTGTGGTTAGTCACTTGAGGACTGAAATGGCATTCTGGTGACGTTAGCAACAAAGCCGTGATACAGTTACGAAATCACTTTAAAATGTAATACAATTTCAAGCGTGCCCACTTGAAGGTCGCACATATCACCTATGATGACCCCGAGGGACCGGAAACCCAACCGAATCACTTTGTTCAACTGCAGTGCATCGAAAAACCCATCGTTGGTCAGGGGAGGACAGTTTGACAGTTAAACGTGAGCTGGCTACTGTCAGATACTGGGACTTCCTCCTCTCCCCGCGAAAATATATAGCCTTTCTTGTGGAAACCGGGCACCTTTGGGTGGGCCAGTAATCTTCGAGTATCCCTGGGCATCACGAAAGAAGCCGGGGATACCCTTCTTCCATGCCAACTGAATATTGTTAACACCTGCAAAATGTGGGCCAAGGCCGACAAACCGCAGTTGTCAGGAGGGGAGGAGAGAAAACCCACATTTAAAAATTCGAATAGAAAGACCACTACGTTGGCCATGGGATCGTAAAACTGTTGAGTGACCACTCTACCGAAGATCGGTACCTTCGAGACACCGAGCGATCGCAGTGGCCGTCAAATAATGCTGGCCTCGACAATATACCGATTAAAGGTGCCAGCAGACCACCAAGACCAGAACGCCTGAAGTCCATTTCCACTCCTCGACTACCTGCCATCCAATTTGACTCACGTGCTTCCCTCACAGACGTCCTATATGCACGGCATAATGTGAAAGACGGCATGGGCGGCTGAATACTCTTGCATGCGAGCGAGCCAGGACCCACCGGGCGAGAAAAGAGATGGTAACCCCCAAGACATCTGGAGTCAGTGGCTGTCACAGAGGCGCAAGCCGGTGAGCCAGATACATTGAGCAACAAGGCCCAGCTACTGCAGTCCCTACCCAAGCTGAAAGCGAAACAAACAAAAAGGGAACGATGCCGGTCAGTACCCCCGACAGGTCCCCTACCCATACAGGAATGTTCATCAGGGCAATCTCGGCTATTTCTCCCCTAGGCCTCGGCTCCGCAATCATCGCCGGTAACTTCAGTACTCTATCCGTCCCCTTTGAGATGGAAGAGTGACCTACATCGGATTCTTCGGTCGGAGGCTGAAGAATCCGACTAAGACAGCTAATAACTCAAAGAAGTTAGGTGATGCCGCACTTTGAGGGTCGGGAGGAAATGCATTGCGGTTGGACTATGTTCCGACGAAAGGTGATCTCAGTGAGGGCATTTGTATCCAACCGCCTCATGGCCTCGGTGACCACGCAGTAGCAACTTCCTGTGTGGCTACTAAGGCATCTCTGAGACCGCGGATACCCGACACCTTTCCTTACTACGGCAAGACCAGCCATGGGACTGTGAGGGACTATTTCGTGAATGCGTCATGACCTGTAGACCGGACTCGTCTCATATTAGATGAACGTTAGGCACAGGTGAGGGAAAGAATCACTGAGGTCATCAGTCAGCCTGCCACGGGCAGCAGACCGATAGCCTGTGAGAACATAATAGCCAAGGCGTGATAGACAGGCTATTTCAGACCCACAAGCAGACTTGATATAAGTAGCTCTCATCACCCGAGGGGTCAGGCTTCTTGAGCCCGTGCCGCTGCATGTCAAAATGCAAGCCGAGCAACAAAGGAGTGAATGTTATCGCAGGTCCCAGTGGAGGTGTACTGGGCAATCTAGAGACAACCAAGCTTCTGACATCACACTTCGAAGTATGGCTTACTAATGACACTAAGTCTATGTTGGCCTGATGCGACGCCGACCAGGCATAGAAAAAAGTAGCCGATAGACTATCTAGGTCTTATTCGGGAATATGTCCTGGCTGCGACGACGTAAGGCCGGCAATCCTAAAAAGATGCGCTGAGGAACTTGGAAAGGCAATCTGTAGCCTCTTCCAGCACTTGCTAGAGTCACACAGATTCCCTAACGAACAGAAGTGCGCGATCTCGTCACTCTCCTTAGAGAGAGGATGCAGAAACGTGCTGGCAGCTACAGACTGATTGCCGTACTTCCTATACTTCCCAAAGCATTCGAAGGCTTGAAAGTCAACCAGATCCGAAAGTTCTGTAGTGGAGAAGGCACCGCCTATACTGCTCAGCATGGCTTTCGGAGTGGTCTTTCATGCGCAACCATCTTGCTGATTTTCTGGGACTACTGGGCATTGGGCTGCGAGCGCTGCTTCACAAGATCATCTCAGCCGGTAGAAGTGAACGCCTACACTCTTGGTCCACAGCCCACCAAGAAGACAAGCAGTTCTGCATCAAGGTGAACAGAATACGGTCGAAATGGAGGCCATCGACGTGGGGGGTATCCAGAGGAGCTATCCTGGTACCGCTTCTATTCGTCCTCCTGTTCTTCCTGATGACATTAAGATTTGAAGGACAGTAAACGGCAAAGGCAACCGTACAGCACTGCAAAATGGTCTGCAACAACTTGAGCCCTGGTCGCCGGAAAACGGCTTACGCGTCAACCTGGAAAAGTGGAAATTATTGCACATCGGTACCTGTGAAGCAAAGACGGCCGAGTTCAAGCACATGTTGAAGAACCATGCTATCACCGGACTATCCACGGAAAAAGATTTGGGACTCAGCTTCTCAGAAACTCTGAACATCAGCTCGAAATACAAAAAAATAACAGCCAAAGCTAACGCCACTTTGGACATCCTGCGTAGACAGCTTGGTGCTCATACTCTCAGACTGTTTCTCATATTTTCCAACTCCTATGCACGACCACCCCTCGAACACCCAAGAAGGACCCCAATCCCCTTGAGGAAATACAAGAGATGCAACAAAACCATCTGGGGGACTAAGGGAGAAGGTATAATCTGGAAGACTGGACATCTAAACCTACTCATCTTGGGGCATTGCAAAGATAGGGATGTTCTTGTTATGTTCTACCACATTTTCCATCAGGCAAATCATGCAAACAGACTAGCCTTGACTGCAGTACGGGAGTCATCAGGGGGAAACCTCATCAAAATAGCACATCAGAGAGCCAACACTCAGGTCTAACTTTTTTACTCAAGAGCACGTGCCTTATAGAATGCCCTACCGTGGGATATAGTTACACCCTCATCAGTATACTCACTCTAAATACGTTTGTCATTTTGCACCGTTTATCACAGATGTACTCGGGGAATTACCAACCTCACAGCCCACCATTACTTCTTTCCTAGTAACCACTCGTCCTGTCTCTTGTTGATATACCTACGTCACCAGCTAGATCTTCTCTGGCAAATAGACCGGTATTAACTGCCTTTGCCTCTTGGATAATTCCCATGTGCCTTTTCCAACCATCTTACCATTCATATCCAGGCAATTGCACAGACAGGAGTCGCGGAAGACCTCTAATCTTCCCATCAGCCTGTAACCCGCCTAATCACTCCACAAATTGCTATTTATTAGCTCACAGAAACAATCATCTCACCTTAGTTAGACGCAAGAAAGCAGAAGACAGTTTTTCATCCGCTGCAGGAGCTAACCGTACAGCACGGGCCAAGTCTCAAGAACTAGATGCTAGAGATGAAAAACAGCTTTCTGCCTTCTGGTTATCGATGTTGAATGTAGGATGTTGAACCGACTCTGCAAACCACTGCAGCTGAATTATATCCACTAAGAATAACTTTACAACTCTTAGCTCTCTTTCTATATGGTTGTTGGTATCAGTGGATAAATGTATGTGTATGCTGCGGTAGATTCGTCCATAACACCTTCGCGGGATTTTAAAATGTGTACGGATATTGAGGATTTAGATAAGTTTGTGGCAGAGGTAAGATTATTTCTTATTAGCTCATCGATCTCCCTACAGAATGACCTTAACTTTTCGCTTGAAGATGTGGAAGTAAAAGCCAAAGAGGTAGGCGGTTTCATTGTATGATATTTCCTAGATTATTTTGGAGAAATGTCGTAAGATTTTAGAAGGCGACAGTTCATCTCACTTATACGTTTGTCTGTGTTGCATCCGAATATTGACTCGTGATGAAGTCGTTCGTAAAGAACTCACGTCTAACTTCTTCGTGTCTCTCCTGCTTAAGCATGCTTTTCATCGCGACACTTGTTCACAATCATCTGGGATAAAATTTGAAGCGCTGAAGTCGCTTTGCAATATCGTATTCAAGGAACCATGTGTCATTGATCGGCTAAAGTTAGTTATATTCATACGTTTTCGCAGTTCAGGGAATTGAATGTTGTGAGAAAAATAATGGAAGGTATAGAGATTCTTCTTGGTCAAGTTACGGAGAAGGAACAACTTCTTTTATGTCTTAAGCTTGCTTTCCTTGTTACTGCTTTGGACTCGTCCTCAAGGTATCGTGGTCGTTTACAACGTGCACATAACATTTATAGGCAGGAAATGGTCAACTTCAATACTTTGCAACTGTTAATAAAAGTTCTTAAAATGAGATCTGGTATTGCAGATTCAACTATAGCAGCTGAAGCTTTGAAGACGATTTATAACATTTTGTATTCAATTCAGGATGAAGATGTTACTAAAGAGGTTTCAAAATATCCGCTTACTTTACATGTCAGTTAGACGATGATATCCAAAATCTTGTGGTGATACTTAAACATCTTTTGCAAGATTCATTGGCGGATAATTTTGACAACTATTTGTTGGTCAGGTGAGTGGTTACATTTTACACAATGATGTGTATTTCTGCACAGGTGTAAAAAAACCCCACTTAATGTTTAGTATCAACCTACATGGAAACTCACATCAACACTTTCGAATTTAAAAAGATTTTTTCTTGTCTTTAGGCTATTTTTAATAGTGTTCCTGTCTCTGTTGTTGTTCTACGACCTGATTTTCCACATTTGTGGAGTAAAAAGTAATGTAATATCAAATGTCTCTTCAATTTATGAAACTAAGAATACGTAGGTGTGGTGACCTGAGTTTTACCAGGCATTGATTAGTAAGAAGACATTTATTTTTTCTGAATCTTCAAGCTGGAAAAGTAAGGGAATCATTTGACGTTAAGAAAAATATTTTTTGTGCCATATTTTGGAATCAGTCTATATCATCAACTGTCTTGTTTTCAAAAAATGAGTATTAAGGATGTTGATGAATTCCTTCAGATTTCTCTCTTACACAATTAACTGACAATAGACAATTATCAAAAAACGAACACACATTGTAAATATTTGTGATGATAATAGTAATCATAATGCATCTCAACTCGGTGCAGATTTATGTATCAGAATATATGTTACATGCTTATTGTATTTTTAGTTGTCCTTGTGTGGACTTGACAGACACAGAGGCCAATCACTAAGTATTCATACTTGGTATATACCAACAAACACGAGGCCAAGTAAGAACACACTAGCGTGGTCCGATAGAATAGTATATTTGCAAGGTCGTGCCGAAATACCAATGCGTTCCAACTAGCTGGCTAGAGAGTCGATTACGAGCAATGCAACGTAACACGAAAGCGTGCCATTAGGGTGGATGCTTGGCCACGTACCTTTAACTTAGCGAGTCCGATAAAATTATGAAGGTCAGCACCGGTGTTGAATCTCATCAGATCCTAGGTCGTTAATTTTGGAGAAGTATGTGACGCTACATGCTTGTGCTTATGGCACTACTCGGTTGCCGAGGCCAAAATAGGCAAAGCAGCGTTTAAACATGATATATATATATACCCTTCCATCCCGTCTCATTTGCCGTACAGTTTTATTTACTGTTACTGCTGCGTTTCAGCACACCTGCTTCTTCTAAACCGTCGTCACATATCTTCATTTTCTTTCCGTTACTAGTAGTGTGATATTTATTTCTTTACCTTGTTTCTTTAGAAATCCTCATCAGTGCACTGATGTCAAGCGTGACAACTTCTGTTATTGAACAGTAATCCCAGGCATCATGTTGTTTATGCGTTTGTATTCATGACTTAACCATTGTGGTATTGCAAATTAAAAAAATTGTACTTTACCGTGATATTTTCAGTCTAATAACTTCCATGACCGTAAATAAAACCTAAGCAAAGCTATGCCAGTCACTTTGTTTTTTGAAAGTCATTTTCAGTATGACTAACATACTTTATACTCGTTAAACCTTATCCGTTATATAACTTCTTGACCGGAACAGTTCAGGTGGACACTTAAATACAGCAGTTAGTATTGTTATGATCTCTTTACATAGCTACTAACTGGGAAAATAGGTGTTAAATAGGTCATCTGTCATTAGAAATGTGTAGAGTTTATCACATTGGTTCGCTGAACTAAGTTGCTGAACTTTGGAACAATGCTACAAAGAAAAATCAACAGAAGGAAAACACTGGTCCGAGGGAACTCAAGTAAGGAATAAATTAGTAGAATGTAAATTATGTAAAACAAGATAAAGGATATACCCCTGTGACGAGTTATGACGTTCATATACCTGCGTGAAATACTCAGCTTTGATTTTTCCGAACACTGCCTGGGAACACTCAGTTACATAATAAAACTTCATTTTGGTGTATATCTTGAAACTTGGCTCTCAAGCATTGGATTTAAGCCTACGTAATCTTCATTGATTCAGGAGGCTGGATAGTAAATATCAACGCCACAATCTTGGGTCATGGCTCAGGGATAAAACCATAATTCGAACACTGAGTTTCCTTCAACCTGGTGCAGATAAAATTCATCCCATGATACCAGACTATCAGCATGATTTCTTTCGATTTCATTCTCAGCACCAAAAAATCTATAGAAACTACTAATGCTTTTACTCTATAAGTTAATGCAGCTAAGCCCTTGTATTCGGTTATTGCAATGGCTATTTACTTAGTTTCTCTATTTTTTCTTTAGGAAGTTATAATTGATCATGAACATTTATGTGATGCTAACCTTCGAGCTCGCAGTTGACTTCCAACCAGTAGGTCAGGAGATTGAAACATGTTCCACCTACTGATATGTGGGCAACTATGTAATATCATTAGCCTTCACCCAAGTGTGACTCATTGCATACTGCACATACCTGCATGTAGTTACTGAGTCCATTTTGATTTCTTGAACCTTTGAGTTAATATAATCTCTTTCCTTTTTCAGTCAAACTGTCAACGTGTTGAACGTCATACCGAAAAAGTTCTACAGAAGTCTTTTAAACAACGAGACTATTGATGAACATCGCACTGGTAATGCGCCTGAACATTCACTTCCTGGGACTGAAACAAATAAGGTGAACTGCATTGCCGTTTTAGTGAGCTTTCTTCACTCTCAGCTTAAATTGGTAAGCCTTTAATTTCTATTCCTTTTTTTTTCTATGAAGGTTATCGGTGTGCTTGCTGATCATCATTTTGATATTATTATACGTAGGCATCATAGGAATCATATTCGGCACAAATTATTATTATTATTATTTTTCATCTGTTACAATAGCAGAAAGTGGCTCCAAATGCCAATTTCTTATGTCTATGCGCGAATAGCCTGTGTGTGAATTAATAACATCTAGTACGAGTAAACTGTCACTTTAAATGTAATAACAGAACTATTTATTTCTCTGGGTTTAAAACATGCAAGTGGGATGAAAAAATGGAGATGATTTAACTGTTATGTTTATCATGTCTTTAGTGTACTTTAAAATGAGGTGTTCTCTGTTCTCAAATGAACTGTTTTTTATATGCATTGTGGTGTAGCTCATTGCTTTACTCATCTCTCTTTCAGTCAAGTGGGCATTGAATTCAGAACCTGCCTCACCTACTTTGGCCAAGGCAATAGGGCAGCATCATAAGTCATCACACAATGGTGTGGACCATAGTCTAATACATCTGCAGAATAAATCGTACTACTATTTATGATAATCTGTCTTACCGTGTTACTGATACCTATCTAAAATTCTTAATAACTGAACATTATTTTTTCTAGTCTTTCTAAAACACTCAGTCTTCGTTCATGGCATCACTTACACTGTTGATAGGTATCATTTGACGGATTGATTATGGCTATGCAGTATAAAATCTTTATCTGAAATCCCACACATCCTCGAAATCCAGTTTCAGTGGCTGGATATACAAGGTGTTCAATCTTCTATTAAGCTAGAAAGACTAATTTCTGATCTTGGCTTCGAAACCCTACCTTTGGTTCCATTTGCCCGTAGTAGCATCAAGTAGTAGTAGTAATCTTAGTCATCTTGATGTCACTTTGATGGCAAGGAGACACCTAAAATCGTCAGCTCATAATTGTCAAGTGACTGGCAAGAAATAATGACAAATATCTTACAGTTTTAGTGTATTTTAAAAATGCAACTCATTCACTACGTGTAGACTCCATACAATAAGATGAATTCCCAAAAGTCCACCGGGAATTCACAAACTGAAAAGGACCGTTTACCTGTCGTTAATTGGGCATTTATCAAATATGTAACGCGAAACAAGTGGTTAGTAGTCTGTACAGCTCCACAGCAACGTCTCTGTCTGCCAATTATTTATCAGATGGCAGCAAAGCTGACGGCTACTAATTCGAAGCTGGAAAAAAAACCCAAAGTACTGGCTTGGATGTCAGCAAGCTGAAAGTATCCGACACAGTCCAATACCTTACTTTATTGTGTCATAGGATGCTGCCTATATTGCCCTCCTTTGTTTTAATTCTATCAGCACTAAACGCAAGATTATTATGGTCTCATCTAAAAACGATTTCGTTTGGAGCAATCTATACTCAATTTTGTATACGTAGGGTAGAAAACTTACACATTTTTCTTCTATTCCTTTTAGGATGCTACTAAAGTTTCTGGAACAGCTAGCGATCTGCGAACTGATGAGAGAATTTGTCCTATTTTGAACTGCCTCACACGGGCATGTAAATCGAATCGTCAGATTAGGAAATTTTGTCGTCTAAAAGTAAGTTGAATTCCATATTGTTTTACATGCATTATACTGTGACAAACGAAAACACAGAGTCCATTTAAATTTTTTTTTGTTGCTAAGTATGCATTCATCCAGTATATAGCTTCCTAGTTTACCTTCACTGGTTGTATAGATAAGCTACTGTTAATTCAAATTAAAATCTGTCGGAGCACTCATAAAATGGTATGTTTACTGGGTAGCAACCACTTAAGAATTTTATTTGTTGTTAAAAGTTATAGCTACTTTTAATTATTATATCATTAAATATTCATCTCTGGACAACTATGACTATTGTCAACACCAAAGTCTATCACTATTTATGGTCCTCGGTTTCACTAAATGATGTTTCAACACACTTATTTGAGTATGTAATCTCTGAAGTTAATATATTGTACGCATTACTGTTATTACTAAAAGTGGGAATTCAACCTATAGGTTGTGCTGGAAATATTACCATTGGATTTTTATTTATGAAGTCAATTCCGACTCTTAATTGCCCCTCGAATTTTCTTTATCACATATATCATGTAGTAAATTTCTAGCTTTGCTTCTTGGTTTACTTGAAAATAAGGATACAAATCAGCTTGTATAAGGATGCGATCAGATTATTGAAAGCACTGGAGTAAAAGAAGCAGCTTTCATTCCCTGCACTTAGTATTGGTTATATCCAACCACTTCTGTACTGTTGAATTTGTATACTAACGTACCTCTGTATGAACTTCTACATTGTACTTTTCAAAAGTCTATACGCCAACAGAGATATACAGTCTCTTTCAGTTCAAGTTGTTCTTGAAAATCATAGACTACCAAGATATATTTTCGATTTTAGCAAGTGTATTATAAGAATCAAGATACCGATAAACCATCATTACTTTTGTAGTGTAACTTCTTTGATTTTTAAAAATCTAAGATTTCAGTGTTTTGCACCAGTTTTTTATGCATTGAAATATTAACTGTTTATCTCAGGCTTTTATGTGAGCATAGTGAATTGAGGTTATAGGGGTTCTCGAAACGATGAGAATCAATAGTCGAAAACTCTTGCTGATATGTTATGAAACTGATCACACTAATGGAGATGTGTACACATATTTTTGGTCATCTTCGAAGTGTTAGTAATTCCCATTAACTATTATGTATTTATTCTGTCAACCCTCATACTCTTTCATGTACCTTATAATATCAATCTTTTTCTATCCGCTTCTTTATTGCGTTCTGCTGTTAAGTGTAGTAATAAATTGATGCACTTGTACTCAGTTGTACGTTGATTTGCCTGTCTGACGTTATGTACTGAAATACTTAAATTTACACATGCATTGTTTCAGCATTACGTCAGATAAGCAGACTATATATAGGCGTTTAAACAGAACTTGTGTTGACTGTAGAACCATCGTTTTAAGAATAATTTATACCTTCTGAAATGAACTGCATTTGTTGTTGAAAATGTAATTGTTTTAGATTTTTAGCTATCCCCAGATACAGCGGGACACATTTGATTTCAGAAAGAATAAGATATTTAAAGTTTCAAGGTGGAGTTCATCATGGACTGAAGTCAATTAGAGAACCATTAAAACCTGGGAGCACTGAACACCTGTCTTATCCTACTCTGGGACTCCTCAGTCATTACCCCGTTAGGGATCGAACCCATCCAGCCACTTGGTTGGAGTTTAACGGTGTACATTTCCCTATTTCTGTCAATTCACGATCACCATCTCCTGGTGCTATTGGCGAGTATTTGTCCTCACACCCGATGGGGTTGACCTCACAAGTCACTGCTGCACATTAGAACTTCTGGAAATCCGTCTCTAAGTATGACGCAGATAACCATTGAAAACTTGAGAGGATTGGGAAAGCTGTTTACTCCTAGTATGGGACCTATCAACAGTGCACACTGACAACTGATGTCAGATCATAATGAATACCAGCTTGAAATAAGTGAATCCCCACAAACCCTTACAATTATTTAACCATTGTAACTTTCCAACTGTGCAGTTTTTGCCCTATATTTTATAAATTGAGTGACGTATTCAGATAAAGGTAAAACCACACATAATAGTGATGCTAATAATAATTATAAGAATGACTTAACTAGTGGTGGGTTAACAGATTTGTTGACTTTCACTAAATTTAGGTTAATTTCTGTTCCCCTTATTTTTCTAGGTACTACCATACTTGGGAAAAGATGTCACACGCCTACCCGAAGATGGTGATAGCATCAGGAATCAGTAAGTACTGAAATATTATATTCTATAAACTGAAATGAAGCACTTTTAATAGGCTATAACAGCTGATAAAGTTACGATATTTCGTAACCCATCTCTTCATAATCATTGTTTTCAATTCAAAAAGTTGAAGTCTCAGTTTGCTATTCATTCAACGTAGAGTTTTAGATGAAAGAAATTGTTTTCAAAGACTGACTGATCACGTTACTTGTACATGGTGTTGCGGATTGTCAGTCGATCGACACGAAGTAAAATGCTATTTTCGAAGCCGGTAAACCCAGCAAATCAGAGATATATTCTAAGACGAATCGATGTTATATTCACAGACGTTAATATGTAAAAACTTACCACATTATTTATTGTTGGCGCTTAAAATAAGTATGAAGGTAGATCAGGTCTATGTTATACTTTATGAACATCTACCTGATATAATATTGAAGTCTGACAAGATAGTGTGAGATACGACGACGCTACTTACGCAATGAAACACAGATTGGATACGAATAATGACTGTTCTCCCTCAGAACCAGATTTTTCACTGAGCCACGAGAGCAGAAGACAGAGACCGATCTGTGGCTGCAAGCAAGACAATTTGTTTGGCAAAAACATCATTTATACAGTTTTCCTCAGAGTATGGGTCATAAGTTGGCAACTTATTTTGCTTGGTCATCTGAAGAACAAAATTATTCAATAAGGTTTTTCCTGACCACTTCTGCTTTATTGGCTGTAGATTTAGGCCACTTCCTATCATATATCTAGTTAACCAACTGCTAGCCAGCTTTGGTTATCTGTGACTTCGGTTTGTATAGATAGTGATAGACTGATTAAATAACAAAACAAATCACTGTTGCCTCTGGTAACGCTTTCCAAAACTACATGTCTTTGCAAAGTTTAGGTTGTTTACAAATGTCACTTTATCGGATGATAGTTATCGTCGTTGGATTATACCCTCATAGATATTCTCCCAGTCATTAAAAGTTAAAGATATATACATTGGAATTGATTTAGTTTAAAGTATTCCAAGTAAATTAATGGATTCTTTGTTTATGTTTTAGTCTTTGTAAACTGCTAACACATCCTGTTCAAATTGTTGGGGAATCAGCAGCCTTATTTATCTTTGTGCTATGTAAAGAAAACAGTAAGTAGTTATTATTACCTAATTGGCCCCCTTATCGTCTTATATATCCCTGACTTCCTTATATGTTATTCACTCATTTTTTGTAAGTAGTTACAGTTGAATACAGGAAATATAATGCACCAGTCAGTCAGTCGGTAAAACTGAAAATGTCAACTACATATCATGAAATCGATTGCTTATCAGTCTGTACGTGACCAAAGTTCTAAAGTTGTTAGGATGAGAAAAACGGATAGGAAAAAGTGATTAATGCTCATACACTAGTTTAGTTTGTAAGGAGATAAGAAAACTTCACATCCCAAATAATTATATATTACGATCTTCCTTAATAGACTGATTGTACGGAGGACATAACTCTCTGCTATACAAAGACATTGACAATATGTCAAGTTCTTTCATACAATTCTTTTCCTTCACAAATTTAAATACAGCACGTACAACAACTTTAACAGAATAGCATGGGTCTGCCTTATTTCGTGGTTTCTCATCAGCTGTTTACAACCTAAAACAATCTTAACATCAATTTATACAAAATGTTTGCATACTGAAATCAGTTGGACAGAAAATTGTCGACTTGAAATTAAGATAATATCGATATGAAGTACTTGAAAACATACAAATTGAGTAAATAAAAATGCAGAGCTAAGTTTGTCGATATATAGAAAAATTTAGATGAATACTGCAGAGTGGAAGTTGGATAAAATGGGGGAGGGGATAGGTGTATTCAACGTATTCAGAAAGCCTACACAAAATATATGGGAGGTCATAAGATTTATGTTAACTAGCAGCTAATGTGAGTAGGATTCAGATAATTAGGTCAAGGCTGTGAAATGTAAAACAACAAAAAATCAACAGGTATGAATCGACAGTGATATATAATAGAGCACGATGATTTTCAACACAACAAAAGTTGTTACCATGGTAGGTATAGACTGATAAATATTTCCTTCTGAATAAGTAAGTTTTGTTTCAATCGTTTAATGGATATGGCTTCTGCAAAAGGCAGCAAATTCAACTGTTTATCAATTATTTTGAGCGATTTCTGAATACCGACTTTATGTCCACTATCAACAAGGTGACGAGTAATATAGCGCTGTTGAAGACTTTTCCACCTCTCAGTCGTAAATTCACAAACCCTTCTTTCTGTTCGTTCCGTGTATGTGCTTTATACACATACATGTGAATTGGTAGATGCAGTTAGAGTTAACATGAAGAGGGGACTTGTCAACTTTTGATTATCTCAGAGTGCAATTCATCCGATTAACCTAGCAGCTAGATAAATCCTTTTTAAGTTCTGTTAACACTTTTAACAATAATGTGACGGATATTTTCCCTACCTATAAAACGTCAGTTGTTGCTTTAGAATTGATCTACATCGACTAAATAGATATACTGGCTGGTTCGCTTACTCAAATTGACATAGGCTATAAATTATCAGCATAATGTCGACTTTCACTAGCTGACATACACACCAGGATAGGTTAAAAAGTTAATAAAAACACCAGTTATTTTGCATGTGGCGAAATCACAATGTAAGCAATAAAGGTTTAGTGTTGAGTACACTAGATAGCGAAGACAAGTCATTTAGTAAAGTTTTAAATCTTTGTCGATCGAGGTGGTTACAACTTGTTTTTTGTATGCTTAATCACCAGAATTTGCAATTTTGCCACAAGTATAATTGAGACTTGGAGTTAACTGCACCGTAACATGGTATGGATCCATGAAGTTCTTTGGTTGTTGATTTTATTCATTAAGGTTTCTTATTTGTAATGTATTTGATTACTGAAGACTCAATCAAAGTCTTAGTTTTTTAAACATTGCTATATGGTTAACCAAGTCAGGTATGATGAGGGATACGCCGATGATTGACACACTGGAATAACAAAAATTGAAGAGTGCAAAACATTGCATTCGAATTGAGTGGTCAAATGGTAAAGGTGTTCGTCGCGATCCCTGAGTACAACCTAGTTTTTTTTTAAAACGATTCTGTAACCAATACTTGTTCGTGATGAAAACCAGCTATGTATAATGTCTCATGCATAAGACAATTGAATATTGATTAAAGATACTAGTAGACAGGAAGTTAACAAATACCTGCGTTTTGAATTCCAAAAATAACCACAGCTGCTTTAAACAGTAGTATGGCTTAGTGGTTTAGGGAGGTGACTATTAACCATTGAGTCACGGACTCCAGCCCCGCCCCACCTACCATGGTTAGGGCAGCTAGTCAGTATCATTAGCCCTAACACAATAGGCATGGCTCATCGCCTAGTGCACAAAATGGGTGAGTCGATCTCACTTCGTAGTAGATCATAATGATTTATCAAATGAAGTGTCTAACACTTATCAAAGCCTAATTGTAATTAGTTCAGAGAAAATTTATGATGGACAGTGGCTAGCAGTGGAATCCAACATGCGTGTTTCGTCCTATCTGGGAATCGTCAGCTGGGTGTACCTGCTTCTCAGTGAGTGGTGTTTCCACCGAGACACGATAGCCACTTCTTGTGCAACAGGTATAGTCTTGGTGTTGTTGCTTGTATTATTTCATCGTTGAGTGGACCAAATTGGTCGGTTTAGTGGATAACGCTCTGGCGTTTGAAGCGACCGGTCTCAAGTTCGAGTCCCAGTGGGAAAAATATCGCTCACTAGGAGATAGGTACATTCAGCTGAAGAGTCCCAAATAGGAAGAAACACGCGTCCTGAATTTCATTGCTAACCACTATTAATCTTAAATACGTAAGTGAAACACGGGCAGTATCAGGACATCTGCGCAGGAGCCCATATGCCAGTAGAGACCGATCAATTCGGTCCAATCAGCGACAGAATAATACAAGAAACAACAGTTAGGGGAAAAAGACTACCTTTAACAGGATCAACAGTCAAATGAATAACATATTGTGGTTTTCACGTGGTAAATCTAAATGAGTGTTACTTATTTCAGTATTCAAACTTCAAGCCATTGGATTTCCGACAAAATAGTGCTTCAAAGCATATAGAGTAGGCAGAATAACTGCTGACTATCTCATATATCTGAAACTTTTACTGGCTTATCTGTGCCATGCTTGAAAAGTTGACAAAGTCTCGTAAAATGTAAGTGATTGCAATATCCCACTTTTATCTATTTCTTAATTTTAGTAGATTGAAGTAGTAAACGACACTTTACAAATATATTTATTTAGTTACATATTATATTCACAAATTCACCATTCCTCTTTATGCACAGTTGGACGAGCTGTAAAATATACTGGTTTCGGAAATTTCGCTGGTTTCTTAGCACGTCATGCATTGCTTGGGAAAACGTCAAAAAACAATAAAGATTCTAATTATTCAAATGATGAATATTCAGATACATCTAGTGAATCAGAGACAGAAGAGTATAAAAGCTTGAAAGATGATGTGAATCCTGTAACGGGTCGATGGGAAATTTCACAACCAAACCCAATGGAGAATATGTCTGAAGAACAAAAAGAATATCTCGCTATGGATTTAGTACAAAAAATTGATAAACTTGAAAGGTAAGTTATGCAACATCTAAAATATCTTAAAGGGTAGAAAAGAAGTTAGTTTTTTGTAAATATATAGTTAATTTAACTTCGAAAATTTTGATTCCACTTCAGATCTGGGTTCATTCAACCAGGAACCATTGGTGAAGATGGATGCGTACGACCTGTACATCATATCCTCGAACTTATACAAACAAAGGAAGATGATAAGAAATCAGAGGAATCTTCAGACTGAAAAAACGTTGTAGAAGTCTTCATGTGTGCATGTGTAAATGTGATCACAGTGATCATCCGTACTGTGTACTAAACACATAACTGAGTACTACCGAACACTGCATTTCAATGACAATCAACAAAATTATAAAACTGTTTTTATTTCACAAGATAAAAAATCGTGAAAAGAATGTACAGAGATGAAGAAAGTATTGTTTAGAAGAGGGTACAAAAGAGTTGTTAGTAACACTATGATGACTACACCATACCCAAGGAAAGTTTAATCTCTGCAACTGCACGAAGTTCTTTCAATCGATAGTCTGCAGGCAAGCCTAACTTAGTCATACAAGTAAGTTGATTTTCCAAATAGGTTAGTGTGTTTTGCTCCCGATTACTGACTGCATCGTTTGTCGATGAATTTTCCTCATCTACAGTGTCTTCTAAGCAGCTAGCCGCCAAAAAAGCTGATGTCAAATGTATACAAACAGCAGCCATTTCTGTACGTACAACTCTACAATAACAAGGAAATTACAATCACTTTCGGTATTAATACTGTGAAAGTTAATTAAATGAAAAAATTATTAGTGAGAAAGTAAAAATATAGACGTCAGGTTGAGAAACATTCTCACAGCTAAAAGATAACTCTTAAATTATGTACCTGTTCGTGTAACAGACACTAGACCTAGGGTAAAATGATGTTCTGCTGTTGGGACTGACAGTCGATTGAAGACAAACTAACCACTAGGATTTCATTGAAGAGACCTAATAGTCATTCTGTAACAGGCGAAATGTGTTTAGTATACAAGAATTTCTCATTCATTATCTGGATATCTTGGTAATAGAAGTAACAAATATTACCGCACATACCGAAACAATGCGCACGATCAAGTTTCTACATTCAGAAGTAGTAGTCTATGTTTAAAGATAAGAATCACTTATGTGGTTGTATTCACCAACAAAAGTAAGAAATAAATGATTTAACTAGCTTTCATGAGTTAGAAGAAACTATAATTATTCTACCAGACATAAGTCACAGTATGTATCCTTGTGTAACAGTAACCATATCCAATGGATATGAACAAGCATAACGGTTCTTTCACGTAATGTCAGATCTTACAAATGAGGAAAATTGGAATCAACAACAACACTTTGATAGTACAAAATCTCATTTATGTTCATCAAAATATGTGAGAAACTGGATTTGAATTCGTTGGCAACTGGAGGATATTAAATATCTGACTATGAAGGGAGTACTGAACAAGTATATAATGCTTATCAAAGCCCTCTACTCGAACTCACATAGCCAAGTGAGCGCTTATGGAGAGTTATCATCAGAATTGGCGACAACTAGTGGTGTTCGCCAGGGATGCCCACTGTCACTGTTTCTATTTAACCATATCATTGGCACATAACCTTAGGCAGGTCTGACTTCACAGGGATTGATATATTCCTTGGAGGTTATCTGATCGACTTGGAGCATGCAGACGATATTGTCTTGCTGGATGAAAGCGCTGACAAAGTGTAGGGTCTTCAAAACACCTTGAGCAGAAATCTGAGTGTTTGGCATGCGTTTTGCCCGCACCTGTCAAATGTGAGGTGATACTCCAGAAATGGTCTGGAACTACTCCCAGTTTAAGGATGAGGCAAATTGGCGGAATGTGTCGACCACTTCACTTACTTGAAGAGTTGTGATAGTCCGAATCGAGCGGTTGCTGACGAAATGTCAGCTGCAATACAGAAGGGTCATTTGGCTTTTTCATACTTGCGTCATCTGTGGCGCCGACTGGCGAGATACCTATCTATCTATCTATCAATCAAAGGATGAGTATACTGCGCTACGCTGAGGTGTGGATATGTCTACGCCACTGTAACCTCAACCACTAACTCCTATCATCTCAAGGACCTCAGCCAGGCAGTCTACGCCCCATAGGGCTCAAACTAACAGTCAGGGACTTTATGGACTGATGTCGGGTCTCGATCCGGCCACCCTGAATCGTCTTTCAACCTAATCCTGCTTCCCCTAACATTGGGATATAGAGGTAGGCAGTGGCTTGGCATGCGCAGTACATGTCCAAACCATCTCAGTCGACTGAGGTTCACAAACCTCATCGACCAACCTGCTTTGCCTGACCTCGGCATTCCTCACAAGGTGAATCCACCACACGCGAGCAATGCTACGATAACACCCGTGATCGGAAACTTATAACCTCTTCACGTCGTCTACTTTTTAACGATCATGTCTAACAGAATCTGTTATAGCCATTAGTAAGTAATCATGTGTGCAGATATGTTGGAATAAAGGTATATATGCTTAAAAAGCCAGACTTACTTTTCAAAGAATGAGCCAGTCTTCATTAAATTGATCTCTTCTGTGACACTCGCAACTTTAGACTTTAATCTGGATAAGATTGATGCCAGATGATCTTGCTGATTTAAATCTGCATCTTCTCTTATTCGCTTTCTAACAGGACTATATACACTATCCAATGATGTAACTTTGCAGAAATTTGTGAGTTCATCCACAAGACAAAGTAGTTCTCCAAAAGATCGATAAACACCAACACCTGTAAAACAGAGGAATAAAAGCATAGCTTACAAACTAATTGCTTTGACAGACAACGCATGATGTCATGTCTGAACAACTCAACATTTGCAAATCCTTCGAAAAAGCATATTATAGAAATGTTTACAAAAAGAGATATATGTTCGTTATACAAAGTTGTGTTAAACGGATCTCTATCCTGAATTCATACGAAATACAGAACTAGGGCCTTGAATAGTAATTTTCATTGGTTTTCTTAGAAAGTTTAGTAATATAAACATTCACTAGACCGACTGGAAAACGGGTAACAACATAGAAATTTTCGTATATGAATGCAATTCAAATAAATAGGGAAATCTAATGATTTCCAGGTGGGTTTACACTTTAGACTGATATCATTTGGAGAGCCATTATAAAGAACTGGTAGTGCTGTGCAGCTTTTTCGTTCCATTTCAGGCTCTCTCACCAGTGCACATCTATATCTCTGTGTAGGATAGCAACCATGACTATAAGGTCTTGCGGTGAGTGCATCACTACTAAATTACTGAATTGGAGTAAAATGATCCTTTCTTCCTACGTCTTTAACTTGGAAATGCATACAATGAATGTTACGGTTCGTGATTTCGACTGATTCCCCCCTTCAGTCTTTTTATCCCTAAAAAACTCAGTTATCTGGTATGTTTGTGGAGTTGGCTGATATATATATATATATATATATATATATATATATATGTATATAATTTGTGAACCCCACCCGATAGCCAAGGTCGAAGCAGGTGAAACGGGTTTCAAACTTGTTGTAAGTAGTTTGAAACCTAAAACCAATCTATCACCCAACAACCAGCAACCCTCAGTTAACAGTTTAAAAATAGAATAACTTCTGAAGTCTTTTCAATTAGTCTAATATACAATTTTAAATAGTGATAACGTAATCATACATGCCAAGTAATGATGACATAGTTAAAGTCGAAAATAAACTGAGAGTTTACTGAATTAACGTCAATAAGTATTTACCGATAAGAAAGTAAATGCCCATATATAGACTTGCATCTCAGACAATAAGTGATATGTATCAAGTGTGTACACCTTTAAGAATACGATACTCTAGATAAAATTGAGTATTTGCATAACACGGTTATGCCTTTGAAAATAGTACCTTTACACAAAGAGAGTGCAATGCGAATAACTTTAAAGGGATTGTGCGTGCGTGTGTGCATACTCAACAGACAGATGTTGACTACTCACAATAATATTATATACCCAACGGTCTTCAGTGAAACTAACTAAACACTCACCTGAATGGAAATCATTGGGTAAACAATTTCCTGCTACAGAATTGTATGGTTCAAGTAGTTGAGTTATACGACGACCCAATGCAGAGTAAATTGATTCAAATTTTGATTGAAAAGCTGAATATGGTGAAATATTTGCATTTAAAATCAATCGTGGCAGTATACACTTAGATAGTATTTCATCAGCAGCTTGAATACATCCAGCAGCAAACCAATGACTTGCTTCAAGAATTGCAAATAGACAAAATCGGCTACGATCTTCTACAGTGATCAGTGTAGATTGATGGTCTAGCATAGTGTTTAAATCCGCTGCATGCTCATAAGCCTTTAATCGATGTCGAGCTAGTATTGCCTAAATAGTTTAAAAGAAAAAAAGATTGATCAGAATCTTTCCACATTTAGCTATTTATAAGAAACGAATTTCTTTCTTATTTCTGAGGTAGGGTCGCATATTCACACAGAAACACGGTGATACTACCTGGCTGCCCAAACCTCGGTAGGTAGGACGATTTTCGAACATGTGACCCACTAGTCGAAAGTTAAACTGCCTAAACTAGTGAACCACACGACCATAGATTCAGTTAAGACTGATATTATATAACACCCAGTGATCGAAATCAGTCATGCATAATTATCCGCAGAGGATTAGAAACAATAAGGATAACTTTACAATTCACTCACTGTGTCAAAAAATAGCCCCATTTACTGTTAGTGAATAATCGCCAAGATTAGCTTACACTGGATGGCTTTAAAGGCCATCCTAGCGACTGATGAAAAAGCCATATACATTCCTTAATTTCATGTAAAAGTAATTTACCAGGCAAAATACCGAAGTCTGATTGACCATTTCAACAATTGCTAGGGTACCCTTTAAAGTCGCCCTCAGGATGGAAGAATTAAAAGAAATGACTAAAGGTCACCCTAGCAACAACTGAAATGATCAAACAGGCATTTAATCCGGAAAAGTATTCCTCCATAAAATAAAGGAGTGTAGTTGGCTTTCTATCAGTTTCTAAAGGGGGGGGGGCTTCAAAGCCACCCAAAACAAAAAGTAGGGTTAGGGTCAGGATCACTTGCTATTCATCGGTCTGTGACTAAAGGCCACTCCAGCAACTGTTAGAACAGCCAATCAGGTTTCGATATTTGTCTCGAAAGTTAGATTTTCATAAAATAGAGATCCGTAACTGGTTGTTTTAACAGTTGCTAGTCCCTTTCCCATTGGCTGTTGCTCTCATTCACCTAGCATAGAGATACATAACGCAACAGCAGATCACTTCCAGAATATTACCTGTCGTTTTTTTATAGCGAATAAATCGCCAGACAAGCCATCTAGAGAGTAATACATACATTATTAAATGTACTACAAATCAATAATAGTTACATCTCTAAAGATCAGAGATGTTTTCATGACACTGGACAAAACTAATTGCTAGAACTACCTAGTAAGAGAAAGTTAATCCCAAGAATTCCAATGACATTGCATGTTTTCGCATAGCAAAAGGAGACTAAACAGTTTTCCCTTCTTTGCGAGATGCTCTCGCAGTCGATCCAGGAAGCCCTATTTGGTCCTTGAAAATTAGCGTTGACCAACCGATCAAAGTAGACAAAGGGGTTGACCTAGGCCAAAGATGAGAAGCTCTGGTTTCGAACCAACAACACACAAACCCTACCCATAGGACGAAGGCATGCTACTCGACTCCATGCAATGGTGTGGATTAGACTTTAAATCAACCAATCACTTCTATCTCAGTAGCATACAAATCATGCTATAAAACGCAGCAATAAACATTGTTAGGAGTACACTTAACCCCTTCCGTACTAACTAGATCAACAGTATCTAAAACTTCGTATTCGATTAATTAAATAAAGTTATTTGATGAAAATGTAAGTCAGACTGCATATGTTACGCATGTTTAATTACCGCGTACACCGACACGTTATCTTCATTTGAATAATTTACGGCAATGTAAACCTCCCAGTTGGCACTCACATGACAACTAAAGTCCGGTTATATATGTTTACATATCTTGTTATTTTTACATCAATATTTTGAAACAATGGATATTTGTAGCTCATTTCACCCAGTTCCTCCGTTTCTTTACGATTCACCGTAGATTTGCTTTGTAGGGTTACTTTAAGCTATTCTAAAGTCACGTAAAGAGCTCAAAAATGTTGTTTTGAAGGTTTGTACATTCATAGACATCAGCCGAAAGAACAGTTTAGTTAGGATTTTGGGAAGACTAGTGCAGTTCAGTATTTGTTTGGCGATAAAGCATATTTCAGTTACGTTTACCTAAAGATCGCTCATGTCACACTAAGCGCTGAAGACAAAGCTGAACTACTCAGCTAGATCCTCACTACTGGATGTGCTTGCTGTACACGAGATGACTAGATTGTTTAACAAGGTATACTACACTGAGAGCGCCTTATCGTTCTGGAATGAGATCACTATATTAAGCATGGAGAAAAGACGTGCAAATAGTCGAGATACCAGGCTGTTAATCGTGACGACCAGTAATATTTACGGGTTTCATACATGATAAGTTATATGGAATGCATGAAAAATGATTTTTGATGAGCAGGCCAACTTCCCTTTAGTTCAAGAATGGAATGACCAGATATTTATCCTCCATAGGAGGCTGGGAAATTGCCACAAATACTGCAGACCGTCATATTTTTTGACACAATAATTGGATTTAGTTCATACGGGAAATAGGTCCTAGAAAATTACCCCTGAAATGTTGATTGGTATTTGAAACTTCTACACACAAAACACTTCACGTATAGTGAAGGTATACAACTACTCCTTCGGTTGTTAAGAGCTTTAAACAATGAGTAGCTTTTCAATCTTGTAAATATCAGTATCCTGCCAGCAACTTATATCATGCTTATTCAGCTGGTAATCAGTATCCTTATTTATAGCAATTACTCTAACATTACTGAAGGATGAAATACTTTTACAAGACTGGTAGCAGACCATGCGTACAATCACTACAAGGAGTGAACTTTCGAAAATATCCAAAAAAATCATAGACGACGGGAAAAATGAGGTTTCTTACCATCAAGTGACATACGTTGATATAAGTTATTTATAATGTTAGCCTAATCAAACACTGGGACGCAAACAGTTCAACTGTACATTCACAGAGCCTATCTGAAAATGTCCAGTGACTTTTTGAATAAGACTGCAATTGTTTTCAAAGGATTGTTCGTATGTGACAGAAACACAATTGTGCCGTGTCCAGCTTAGCATCCATCGGTGAAATGAAAAAAACTAAGTGGACTCCTGAAGAACATACAACTTATTGGATGTAGATAGTCAGAATTCCGATAGATATGGGAGAGAAAATCTGATGATAAACTTCATGTGATCTTGTTTATTTCTTTATTATGCGTGATTTTGTCTCTTTCATACCTTACAAACGAACGGATGAAACGCACTCAACCACTTTGTGAACATCTGTGGAGTAGAAAATGAGCCACATCAATTGTTTGAGGGCTAGCGATACTATCTGGCTGTCCAAACCTCGGTAGGTGGAGCGGGGTTTGAATTCACGACCCATCAGTTGAAGAGGCATCTCCCTGAACCACAGTTAGTTACCTTACTGTAACACTTAAATCAATGATTTTGTGGATGAGAATAATAAATATTATGCGTTATAAGGAATTCTTTGAAAATCTATCAAATCCCACACTTACTTTTGCTTCGTGAATCCATCGGATAGGAACACCCAGACGATTTACTAAAAACGATTCAGCCTTAGTCAACGATGGTGCAGGCAAAAGATTGATTTCGTTTGACATAAAATCGATATCCGGTAAAACATTAGCAGAAGAGTTCTTATTGATGATGGACGGTAGAACTAAAGATACATGTCGACCGATAAGAGATTTTACAGCGGCTTCACGAGTTTTCTCATCGTCAATATGAAGCAGCACAAAAACTGACCATTCCCATAAACCTGCAGTTTCCAGTTGTGTAGCAAATTCATTACAAATACGAGTAGATAATTCATAAAAATCTTCATGAAAATTATCATAGAAATGATGATATCCATATGAAACTAGAAAACGCCATAAATGCCAAGATAATGCCCAATCTAAAAGATTCATACGATCCAATGCACAAGTTGACGAAGAACTTCGACTGAAGGAACAGGGATCTAAAGTTCTTGGCAAAGAATGAAACTGTTTGCGACACAATTCCAGAAGGTGATAAGCTGTATCACGAGGCCATTCTCGAAATTTGATTTCAGCATTCGGACCTATAATGTATAATATCAAAACCATTGAGAATAATTCAACAGATATGAGCAGGTGATTTTGCGCGGATAGAAAGCTTACCTTTCGTTTCTTCATTGATAGGATAATCTTTCACTGGCGAAACAGGACGTTTAGAATCGAGAAGTTTGTCGATTGTTGGTGGACTTGGTCGTGGAACTCCATGTTTTGAATTAGGCACTTGATCAGAATGCCAGGTATCACTGTAAGCCAATAAAATCTCACCTAGATTCGCTCTGTAATCACACATATACCATATGTGCACACCAAATGCTTGAATCCAGTCAAGTCCAGTTAGCACAGAAATGCTTGATGTCTCTGTAGGATGTGGGAACTCTATAATCCCAGCTAATAAATAATACACTCGAAGCATATCAATGGGAATATGCTGATCAAACTGAAAGAGATAGAAAATGTGGGCAAATAGAAATATATGCAATAAAATCGTAACTATTATATGACAAATTTTTTTTAAGTATAAATCTCTAAATTCCGTTTGAAAACAAAACACACAAAATAGATGGGCAAACTAACAAGACGTTAATCACTGTCCGAATAGTCCAGTAGTAACTTCTCTGACTGCGGCACTAGGTAACGAGGATTTGAATGTCAGGCATTAGTTCGACCAAGGATGCCGACAAGCCTTGCTGACGAGTGCGAACAAATACGAAACCTAGGTCCAGAGAATCCTACCGATTGAAACAAGCAACTTTTAAAGAAATGAAAGTCCAAGAATTCACATTCCTAATATTTTAGGCGAAAATCTGAGTATGTTTGGCATCCGTTTAGCTCGTACCTATGCCAGCCACTCCCCTGACTTGGGAAGTTCCATCAACCCGAACAGGTTGGTTGCTGACGAAATCTTAGCTCGAATACAGAAGACTCGTTTGGTATTTGTCAACTTGCATCATCTCTAGCGGTGACTGACGAGATATCCGACTATACATGAAAGGACTAGTGTACTGCGCTGCAATCCATTCAGTCTTGTTGTCCATCCATCCATCCAGATCAATCTAGGACCAGGCATTACTGCGTAACGGTCCAAGTTGCCGCACCTCGGACCTCAGTCTTGTTGTACGACTGAGACATGACCATTTAAAGTAGAACACACGAAGCGATAACTGGGTTCTGATCACAGTTGTCTTTGTAGTATTGCTTACGTTTGATGGAATCACTGTGTAAGCAAAGTTGAGGTTAGGCGAAGTGTACTAGGCAAGTCGATCAGTGAGGTCGTGTACTGCGCATGCCTAGTTACCACCTACCTCGACGTGCCATGCTAGGGAAAGTTAGATTAGGTTGGAAGCGGGTTCATGGAGGACAGACAATAGGCGTGACACCAGTCGATGAAGTTTCTAACTGTTGGTGTGAGCTGTGTTGAAAGATGCAGACTATCTAGCTGGAGTCCCCGAAACGATAGGAATCAGTGATTTAAAAGTCTTCGTCATATGGCTGAAAATCACTCACAATGGTGCAGATGTATTCCTTCTTAAACAACTTTCTAATGCCTGAGTATTCGCACTAACCGTTTATTCTCTTACACGACTGTATGTACTATGATATCATTCCTTCTCATATCCACCTGCTCTTTGTCTACTGTTGTGAAATCTAGCAACTTGAACTGATGCACTTGTGTGCGAGGTTCTAAGTTAATTCTTTTGAAAACCAACACACTTGTGTTAACAGATTGACTATTTATATATAAAAGGTAAGATTGCAATTGTTCAAAATGAGCGTGAATGATAGTAGTTAACGTGAACACACAATGCGTGTGCCTACTATGACAGCTAATGAAGTATTTTTAGTCCTAAGCTATTTACAAAACACAATGGTTTCCAACAAGACACATACGTAGATATACTCCAAAATATCATATTACTTAAGGAATAAACAATCAATTAGTTAACATATAGATGAATAAAAAAAAGCATAAAGTGAATAAGTTACCTTCATCTCATGCCATTTACTCAATTGTTGTTGTAAGCCACGTCGAAAAACTGGATCACCAGCAGTTGACTGAGCTAAAAGCGATGCTAAAGCTGGCATGTTCGATACAATAGCCAAACGACATGCAGCACCAGATTCTCCAGATACCAAACAAGCGAATATTCCTTGAGCTAAGATATCACTATCACTAACCGATGAATTCAGTTTACAATACAATGAAAAAGGCTCCAAGGCATCGCTTACAGTTTCATTTAAACCCGCTGCATCTGTTAAACCTAAGTGCTCCAATTTAGACTTTAACCATGGTAACGATTGAGTTCTGGTGTAAAAAAGTTAGCAAAAAAGGAAATAAATAATAAGAAGGGAAATTGAACAACTGAAGTTGGTATGAATACTAGACATCCCTCTGGAAAGACAGAGATAGACATCATCAACAGAGTGCCATGCTATGGGAGAATTTGGATTTAATTCTACACGGATGTGTTTCGCAATATTTCATCAACAATCTTTAGACCTTCAATGCTATTCACAATAAAAAAAATGCTCGACAGCTTCCTTAGCTCTTCCTATACAGAACTAGATCAGATCATACACACTCATCATCACCTTGAAATTCGTTAATGAACAGTCGATAGGACTGTGGGCTGACATCAAACATCTCCGTCTACGGTTTAAGAAGTTCCACATTGCCTTCGACTCATGCTGTCAAACATTCTGTGACCAGTTCATCCGTCTTTAATTTGGCATCAGAGATGTGATCTCGCATACATATCGAATCTGCGCATATTTTTCCAATGTTACTTTCTCTCTAATCCTCATGTTGTCAACTTTGTCCACTATATTTGTGGAGTAATCCACCAGAGAGTATTCAACTTCATCAAGTTGTATGCAGAGCCCTGGCATACCATTGTCCTGTTGTTGATTTGGTATCTCGGATAACTGTTACTTTCACCGGAATGTTCACACCTGAGAGTCTTGTTTTCTCCTAATAATAAGTGGTTGTATATGCATATCTTTATAAATTAGTGTTCTAGTAGAAAACTTCCATGTGAGATGGCAACAGCAAAACATGTAATCTACGGTGAGCAATAGATAGGTTAAATGAGAAGTTCATTATGGTTAGTGATAGACTCATTACGTCGACCAGCCATTCACACGATACTAGACAGTTAATCAGATGAGAGCAGTGTGGACGTACTGAATAAGTTACTTATGAGTAGTAAAAACAATAACACTAAATAAATGTGATAGTGTTTTTACTTAGTCCCCTTAGAAGGTAGTTAAGCAAACAGTGATAAAGACTGACTAATAACATGAATGATGCTGTTGGTTGTGTTACAGAGGAGAACATTACAAAACTATGAAAATTCAAAAGACATCACAATCTACTTCAGCGATAGATTTCTCGTCGATTTGAATTGAAAATTTATGATGTAAGGAGAACAGTATGGAAAACAAGTTATTGAACCCAAAATTAAAAATAACACTAAGCATACAAGTCGATATTGCGTAAGTCGAATTAATTTCATCAGTGATGTATATAACTTTTTAAAAAAGAAAAGAATGAATCCCATAGGTTCTGCAAACAATCGTATTTGTAAAGCATTCATTTAAATTAAAATAAGAATAAACTAACTAATTTACCTTATCCACTCAGAGATAGCTTGTTTTCTGGCTAAAGAACGCATACCAGACAATTCTCGATAAGTATTCAAAGGATAATTTACAAGATTATAATTACGATAAACTTCATTACTAATACATTCATCATTCCAATGTTGATCATGTTCAGATAATATAGGGAAATCTGAATTGATCAGTTTAGAAGTGAATATTTTATCTGATGTACTTTCAGTTTCAGCCATTGCTTCAGCTACAGTCTCTTGTGGATGACGACCCCATAAAGCTTGACAAAGACTAAAAATTCGTTTAAAACCATTTAATCGAACACTAGACACTTCATCATTTTCAACAGATTCATGAAAATTCATAGTAAGATTTGTCAATGGATCACAGTTTAATACACGTGTATATGATTCTAAAGGTGATAAACCAATAACTGGACGCCATAAAGGACAATAATCACGTGGTGGTTCTAATGATAATTTACTAGTTTGTACAATTCGTATAGATGTAGTCAATGCTGAATTTAGCATATCCTAGAAAAAAAATAATGAAAACTATAATTATTGTTTAAATAGATTATTTTATTGAAAAATGAAAACATAAGAAGGACATTGTTGAACCCTATGTGCACGGAGTGTCAACCAATATAAAAACTAGGTCAAGTGGGGGTTCCTTCCGATTGCCCTCTTCCAACTAACATATATCAAAGTGCATCGTGATGCTGAACTTTCTAGTCTGGTGGCAACATTGTACAACTGACAGACAGAATTCGATCGCCACTTAGGACTAGACAATATGCAGCTGATTACCTTTTAGTGACTAATCAATGTATCTCATCCAATCTTGCAGGAGGTCAGTCACGGCCTGAAAAGCTCAGTGGTAACGTCGTTGACTATAACACCGGGTGACGTGGGTTCGAACCTCAGGCGGGGTTGCAGACATGCCTTGCTGACGAGTGCCGATAAGCACAGAACATAAGTCCAAGGTTCTCTGCAGATTGCCTCCATCCAACTAGCATGAAAACAGTATATTACCAATTACCTTCTTGTATCGAATTATAAGCATAATTTTTAAAGAGATGGTTTATTTCTTCGAAAACAACAAAGTTGACGACTACCAGAGTTCAAGTATTACTGACTAATAATCCAGTTATACAACTTAATCTAGTAGAGGTACTATGCCCTAAGGTAAGTCACACTTTTTTGACTGTATTTTATGTCAAAGTAGATAGGACGGGGTTCAAACTCAAAAACCTTTGGTAGAAAACCAAGTACCTAAGCTTGCTCACTGGAGATAAATGTTTGTCAAGGTACACTTGAAATTCAGCTTTAACTCACAAAGTCTCTTCCAACTTGCCTGCTTAAGTTACTACATCTGATATTTTGGCTTTATTATAAGAAACTGGATAAATCTAAATAGGACTCAATTTTTGTTTTATACGATGGGTATTCAGCTTATTGCATAGACAATGAGTACATATGTTGTACATCAGCAAACAGTAACTCGATCTTCTGTATTCGACACTTCATCTTTCGTATACTTTGCCTAAAGATTTCTATCCAAAGAGAACTGAAACGTTAAAAGTGAATTTATAAATTAGCAGGATACTGAAAACACATCTCAGCTCACTATAATAATAGTAATAATAATAATAATAATGATGATGATAATAATAATAATAATAATAATAATAATAATAATAATAGGTAAACAATATATACTACTGATATATACATTACTAATAACCAACCTCATCAAACATTTCAACGGGTGAAGTTAATGTATACAAAGTAATTAAATTAGTGGTCGATAATTCTTCAACATCCTTTTCATTATTATGTTCCATTGGTAATGGACAAACTAATACCAAAGAATGAAGTTCTGGAAATCGTGAACAACCAAATGATGGTCGTATACCATGACCATGCCAAAGACCAGAATCCACAATCCAATGTGAGGGATGATTTAATAAATTCGGATTATCATGTCTATCGACAGTTTTCAATGATAACATATCTGAGTAAGAAGTTAAAAAAAAAGAGAAAGAATAACGATATAGTCAACAGGATTCTTAATTGACTCAAGTAACGACAGTGAAGCTTATGCAGATAGAACTATGAATGACAGTTAAAAATAATAAACAGCAGGGATATTGCCTTCAAGACGTAATCAAGTTAAACATAATTTAAAAGTGATTGATACTAATCGAGAAACAACTGAGAACAAAGAACAGATAATCTGTTTCACAAAAGTTTAGAACGCATCAGTAATACTTTCTTCTGGCTAACTGTAAAAGATTATAGAACCCTTGGCACGATAGTCAAGCTTGCTTATCACAATGATTCAAATAGTTATACCATTGAAACGCTTGTTTGTTCAAGGTTCGTTGGATAGTAGTTAGACAAAAAATTGCTTTGCTATGATGGCAAGTGTGACACTAGTAAGATGCTTCCCACGGATGACCGGGAGTGCTACACTGATGCTACCTTTCCTATAATTATAGAGGCATTCAAAAAAATCGACCCTAAAAATAGCACACTCTCTTCTACCTTACCGTATACCGATATCAGAGATATGGATGTTCACAGTAGGAGTCGAAGCTACCAAACTTAAATATTAATTTTCTGAAAAGGACCGTGTGACCGGCTTGAAACAGACATCCCTTAGGCTCTGGGGTTACGTACTAGCCCTTTTTTGGGTACCTCATGAAGAATGAACTTTCAAGGTGTAGGAGGCCGGAGATTTTTGAATTACCCTCAAAAGTAGGCTAGGACTCAAGCTCCCTCTCACTTTGATGTCACTAATTTTCTCCACCCACTTGTTCTTTGCTTACCACTATGAAGTGTGGCAACTTTTGTGCGAAGTTTCACGGTGATTCTATCTGCTGGGTAGTGAGTGGTATGAAAAAACCAGTTACCGTAATCGTGTAAACAGCTACCGTAAGATGAGTACCCGAGAGTAAAACTGTGTTGCTAGCTGGATAAGGGTCAACAGTAGGTAGTAAGGTGTTCCTCACGGATGACTAGGAGTTGATACTAAAAAAGGGGTGTAAGAAAGGTTGATCCAAAAATCACACATTCTCCCACATCCTGCCGTATTCCGATCGCATGCAAATCAATCAAAGCTTCAAAAAAAGCCATACGTGACTGATCTTAAGCAGACGTCCTGCAGGCTCAGAGGTCATGCACAACTATTGCTAATACAATTTCCTTTTCAGGATAGCCGGGAAGTGTCAACCGTTCTCACAATCTTGTCAACACTCAAGTTTCCTCAGATCATTACTAACCTTCCATATCCTCACCTTCTAATATTTTCTCACATCTCTTGGTCAATATCCCTACGTAATCTTCAACTTCTTACAGTTCGCCAGCTCATGAAAACGAATGATTCAGGTACACAGAATAGCATCCCATGGTGTCCTGAAACCGCACTACAAACTACATATCTGAACTTCTGCTTTCCTCACTCTGCGTCAAATCGAACAAAAAGCTTTGCTAACCAAAACGCTCACATCTAAAGTCATGAGTGTGTATTGTGTTCTCGAGAAACGCATACAGGACCCAAATATGTTTATTCACCTAACCTCATTTGTTAATATAGTGGAATTTTCAAAGTTCACTTTGACTTTCTGAGGGTTCTCGCTGTTTTCTAGGTATGAGTATAGCATTAAAACCTAAGGCAGAAATCGCACTGCTCAATTCGATACCAGTGTTGACAGTCGCCTATGCGCTATTTGACTGAACGGCACAGTGAGGATTAGAAAGGGTAGTGAAATTCAGAGCTATCTTTCAGTATGAAATATAGACTACCAACTTCAACTCAATGATGGACACTTAAAGATCATATGGCTGTTGGTTATCACTGGAGTACCACTGAAAAACTGACTCTTCTTTTGGAGTACATGCGTGAACAGTCATCATTAGCTGGTTCGATTACGTTTCTCTACGCATAAAAATAAAGTAACAAGATCATTCAAAAGCAGCTAAATGATACTAAGGCTACTTTCAGTAAGAAATTTGGCTAGACAGTTATCGGGACAAGATAACATCAACTATTTGAAGAAAGCTCAGTGCCCTCTCCCGTCTGCTGTAAAAATAGCGTTGAAGAACGTAAAAGATCTGAAGAGCTTCTTCTGAACCAATCGATGCACATGAACTGATTTCTGCAGCCTCCGACAACAGAAGCAAGTCAAATGTAGACTGACAGTGAGTCTACATAATGACCGGGAGTAGTAGTGGGCAGCGATGGCTTAAGTGATGGGAAGAGAGGTGGAAATAGGCGATAGTGGACGGTTATTTAAGCTGATAAAGGAAACCGGGGCAATAAAGTCAGTGTTTAATGAGACTAAATTGTCGAATGACGCGTGATTTCTTTGCAAGTGAAACGAATGGAACGGTACGTGGAATACTTCGACTGGGCTTCAATTAATTACACGTTTCCCCCTATCCAAACGGATACTGAATGGAACATTGAGATAGGCCCTTCAACATTCACAGAAGTAGAGATTGCAGTAAGTAACCAGAAAAAAGGAATAACGGTTATGCTTCTTGACCCGAAGGCGACATTCGACTCGGCCAATTAAGAGGTCTCTCATTGGAGACTCTAGATGGTGTCTTGGAATCGATCTCGGTAGCACAAATGCATTCACATTAGCTTTAACTTCATGGTCGTGTCGACCTGCATCATTGTCTTGACCGTTCTTATTTTAATCTTACCATTTCCTGTCACTTTCGATTACTTTCTTCCTTAGTTCACCATTTTTTACCTTGGTACTACTTGCTACCCTGAGGTGGATGATATGGGTTGTGGCAATTTGGATTGCAGTAATGCAGTAAAGACAGGACCGACGTTGATGCTGGCTGACTGATAGCAACAATTCAGTTAAAATTGAAAGATCAATGTTTTCCTAGGCCGTGTTTCGTGAGTAACCCAGAAGTTGAACGAATAGTTTTAGGCAGGAGAGGTAAGACAGCTGATATGGTTGTAAACCTTCATCGATTGAGATGGTTGGGACATGTGTTACGTATGCCTTATCACCGTCTGCCTCATCGGAAAATGTTGGTCGAAGAAGGTTAAGACTGGAGGCGGCCAGACCAAAACATGGCATCAATGAGGTCATTGACTGTTCGTCTGAGCCCTTTAAGGTGATGCAGACTAGCGAGTTGGAGTCTGCGGGACAAGAGAAACCATTAGTTGGAGACTCTAAATGATATGGCTTAGAACTGATGTCAATGGTGCAGATGTACACATATATTATCGTCATCTTAACCTCTATACTTCATGTTACCATCTCGTTCTTCCTTCATCTTCTATTTTATTGCCTTGTTACTTGATGTGCTGATATGAGATGTGGCAACTTGGACCGTTATGCAGTCATGCCTGGTCGTATGTCGATTTTGATGAGGATGATGATGATGACGACGACTATAGGAATATATATGAAGTTGATTTGTCAACCACATTATGTAGATGGATATAAACAGTTTAATTAGGTCTAACCAATGTGATAATAATAATAATCACTTCATTCCAAACAATATGTATGACAGTATGGAATTTTCAGTATGTAATTTTTCAATAAATTCACTCCCAGAACAATACTTTCAGATGAAACGGTTGTTGCACCGGAATGATGTAAATAATAACAGTGTTCACGGAAATAAATGTGAAATAGCCAGCTGGTTCTGGATGGGCATCAGGTCGATAATGAAGAATCAAACAGAAATGCAAGCATAATTTTGATGGTAGTGGTGTTGCAATCAGACAGTACAAAAATCTACAGCTCAAACTAAGCATTTGACGAATAGAAATATAACACTTTTTGAACCGAATAGTCCACTTTCATATAAGTTAATATTTTATCTTTCCTTTGTTATTGACTCGAGAAATGGAGAGTTGGGAACAGTTTAAAAATGTGCAAGAGTAAATGATACGTTCAATGGACATATTTAGATGATTAAAACAAATTGAAAGAGAAGAATGTGATGAAAAATGTTCAGTGGATAAACTTGGTAGCCAAAGGTTCAAATGGACCACCATCGTAAGAAATATGAAATAATTAGACGTTAACTAAGTAGTTGTAATTTTAAATAATACACGACCACACAAAGAAAAGAATTAAAGAACAATAAAGAGAATGCTTATGTCTAACTCTGAAAAACTACATTATCAAATGTTCATACTTCAACAGACGGTTTACACAAACAACCTCAGCATCTCGTTTAGGTATCGCATATTGGAACCTCAAAAACAACGAGGGTTTTATTTATTTATTGATTTTTAATGAAAGAAAAAAAATGGAGTACTAGAGAAAAATGACTTCGATATTGAGAAAAATCATTGAAATCTACACGAAGTGAACTCACTATGACATAATTTTTGAATCATTTCATAAGGATAAAAATTCATTATTATTTCCATATCATCGGATAGATGTAACTGGCTTTTCATTTCTATGATTGATAACTGATGACTCTCCGGTAAGTCATTTCGATAATCAGATATACCTTCTTCATTTATTGGATTAGCATCATAGTTTTGATATGAAGGTAAATTACGGAAAATACTTTGTGTAAAGCAGGAATCAAACTATATAGAAGCGTAGAATAAAGCATGAAAAATTAAGTTTCTAAAAATGTATAGGCGGGGTACAGTACTGAAGTGATATCACCATTATAAAATTATATCATGACAGTATCATCACAGGAATGAAAAAAGCATCAGCATGCTACTAAGATGAGCAAAAAGGGGAAGGAATTGTCGAGTTACAATGTATCAGAGTTGAGTTCTTGAAGTACAAACGGAACCGATATTCCTATTTGACCGAATTGCATGAATTATAAAGCTATTGTTAAGGCATCTATTAACTCATTCTCAAAGTAATAACAGAGAAAGAGATAGAACTGCGAACGCTGCATCAAAGACCTAACTATCAATTATGAGCGTCCTTTATCAAAACCACAGTGTGAGATGAAAATATACAAATATTAACAAGAACTTCCATTCATGATTCATTATCCTCTGATTGATAAGTTAAATCACATGCTGTCCAACGACGATTTAGTGTTATTAACTAAACTACGCACATTATTATTATTTGTCCCTTGGGTTCCTAGTGGAACATAGAGCTTCAGTAGCACGTCACCATTTCACTCACTTCTCTGCAGTCTTTTCAACACGGCTCCACAACTGCCCAGAAGCTTTCATTTCGTTCTCACTCAATCTCCTCCATGTCACCCTCGCCTCGGACACCCAACTCGTCGTTCCCCATTTCGGTTCCACTCGACGGCATGACCTGGCCTCGTTCGTGCGTGATGTCCCCAATCGGTCTTCTCAGTGTATGTCCAATACAATACAATCCATCTCCACGTTCTTCTGCATATTTATTGGGCGATGGGTTCCTGGTTGGTTCGATCCCAGACTAGAGTTCCTCCTTGCTTATTCCTACTATTCTGGCCATCTGATCTTCAGTATCGAGCCAGTGTAGGCGGCTGTCGATGTATGTCTGTAGTCTGTTGGAAATGCTTTTCGTAACGCGCTAAGTCTCTCAACCATCACATAGAATCACTGACTTGTGTTCAAAATCCCGATCTTGTTCACGCTTCATGCTGAGTGCAGTGCAGTAGATCTCCACACTGATTATTTCAGGTTAATGAAGGAAGGCCTGTCTTGCTGTCTTTCCCATCCTCATCTGTGCCGCCGCCACCACCTGTAGTTGAAACAATGCTGCCCAGGCAGACAGGTGGAAGAGACTACTATCTTCAGATTTCTCCCGTCGATGGTGATTGGTACTTGTTGATGTTGTTGTTGGTTGGGTATATTCATCACCTGTGTCTTCTCTACGTTCACCTGAAGGAAGTGCCGTCTTCCTTTGCTACTTCGCCTCTTCTGTTAGTTTTCGCCTGTAGATCTTAGAGTTTGTGCGACAAGACATTAGACATAAATCATCATCGGCGGCAAAATTCAAATCTTCTGGAGGCCTTTCCATCAGTTCACCCAGCATATGTCCATCTACTCGCTTCTCACCATTTGTTGCATGATCCAGTCCAGTAGACCAAAATCAGGAAGATCATCGGTGATAGTGGGCGGAAACCTTGTCTTACTCCCTCCTGTCTTCACTTCACTTCAAAGGCATCACTGGGCCTACCATTGTGAATCACTTGGCATGTTTACTATTCATAAGTAACTTTATTCATTACGTCCACACTGCTCTCCTCTGATTAACTGTCTAGTATCGTGTGAATGGCTGGTCGGCGTAATGAGTCTATCACTAACCATAATGAACTTCTCATTTAACCCATCTATTGTTCACCGTAGATTACATGTTTTGCTGTTGCCATCTCACATGGAAGTTTTCTACTAGAACACTAATTTATAAAGATATGCATATACAACCACTTATTATTAGGAGAAAACAAGACTCTCAGGTGTGAACATTCCGGTGAAAGTAACAGTTATCCGAGATACCAAATCAACAACAGGACAATGGTATGCCAGGGCTCTGCATACAACTTGCTGAAGTTGAATACTCTCTGGTGGATTACTCCACAAATATAGTGGACAAAGTTGACAGCATGAGGATTAGAGAGAAAGTTACATTGGAAAAATATACGCAGATTCGATATGTATGCGAGATCACATCTCTGATGCCCCCTTCTCATAGGGTTACAGTTAGGGCTTTGTAACATAAAAGGCACGATTAATCATAAGACTGAATCGTCGAAGGAAAGAACAGTTTTTCGCCTTCAAAAACTAAGTAACTAATTCGGGTGACTTTAGAGGTCACCCCAGCAACAATCGAAATGACCAATTAGGTTTCTCCATTCCGGATAGAAAGGCAAATTTCAATAATATGCAGAAGTTTGACTAGTTATTTCACTAGTTGTTAGGGTGGCCTGTAAAGTCACTCACTAATTCAGTTACCATATATTTCGTTAAAAAATGCTGTTAACAAGCCTGACACATCGGCAACTTTATGAGAGCAGCCAATTTACTCACTTTTCCATCGAATTGGTCCATGATCTTCATACGCATATACGGCTTCAGTTGGTATGCCTGATTCATTTGTTGATCCATACTGAACGGCGCATATTCCCCCTATGATGTAAAAGAAGTCAAATACTATTTGAATAATCACCAAAAACTAAACATTTTCGTCAATTGCATCGGATATTCTGAAGAACATAGTATGATATGAAAGTAGTGCAAATGGTTGTACGTAATGGAACTATGAAGTGAAATGCAAGTTAACCTTCCTCAACAAACTACTTTCCTATCTCCAACCCGAGACCAAATGCTTCAAACGCTATAGCTTTATTCACGAGGCCAATGAATCACGATAGCCATTTCTTATACGACGGGTAATAATATAAAAATATATACTCGTCGTACAAAAAGTCTCTATCGTAACTCACTGGCTTAGTGGATAACGGCCTGGCGTTCAAATCCATGGGTCTCAGGTTCGAGTCCTGGTGGGAACTCACCGGGAGGGAAGTATATCTAGCTGACAAGTCCTAAATGGAACGAAACGTGAGTTCTGGATTCCACTGCTAGCCACTATCCATCATTATTATCAAAAGTGAAACATAGACAATACCGAAGCATCCGTGAAGGATCAATCAACGACAGGATAATACACGTAACAACAAATACGAGAAGTGTTAAGAACAAGTTCTTTATTAGCCAGTTCAAAAACTAAAGCTTTGCATGCAGTCAGCTACCTATAGATGCAGCTCGTTCACGAAAGCCTATTCATCTTTTAATTATCCACTAGGATGCATCAAGTATTGCTTTTCCTAAACTGGTTTATAAATCATCTAATGAAAAGCTAGAAATAATTCATTGCATTGAAAATTCTCCGATAGAATTTTGTGAAACTAGATTATGAGTAGTAAGTACCAAGGTTAATTGACTTAGTTGTGGGCATGATGGCTATCTTTATTTGACAGGTAAAGTCATCTCACAAATTGTAACTTTGATAGATTCATAATGCTTTATCTATGACTTCCCGGTAATTCAACCAATAAGCACTTGTTAATTATTGGAACTAGATAAAAGTTCAGTCATACACCTTATCCAGTCATTGATGACTCACAACTCTGTAATTGGAGTCATAGTGAACATTTTTCTCAATCGGTTGAGAGATAGACAGAGATAGTTCACAAGAGAAAACCTAATCTATTGAAATTGTACAGTGAAATTAACAATAATTGTTTTTCTAATCATCCTCATATTAAGAAACACCATCAAATTGTTTCGGATAGAAGAGGCGAGGTGCACTCAGAGACCACATATAGTAGACAATGCGCTATACTTACTGTGTGAGAGAGCTATAGATGCTATCTGGTTACCATCCAAACCTCGGCTAGTGAACTGGGGTTTGAACCCGTGACCCAATGGTTGAAAGTCAACACCTCTGTAGGAGTACATTTTGTTGGTCGTTCACTGTTGAAATCCTTTTAGATAACAAACATTATACTTTTTTATATTTCATCGGTGCTTAGAAGTTTCTTCAGCAATTGGATTGGTTTTACTGGATAGGGTTGCTAGTCCTACGTCCAACCTTTCCTCTTTATCCCGGATTAAAACTGGCTAGTAAACTAATAACCTAGAAGATTTGGATTTTGCCGCCGATGATGATTTATGTCTAATGTCTTGTCGCACAAACTCTAAGATCTACAGGCGAAAACTAACAGAAGAGGCGAAGTAGCAAAGGAAGACGGCACTTCCTTCAGGTGAACGTAGAGAAGACACAGGTGATGAATATACCCAACCAACAACAACATCAACAAGTACCAATCACCATCGACGGGAGAAATCTGAAGATAGTAGTCTCTTCCACCTGTCTGCCTGGGCAGCATTGTTTCAACTACAGGTGGTGGCGGCGGCACAGATGAGGATGGGAAAGACAGCAAGACAGGCCTTCCTTCATTAACCTGAAATAATCAGTGTGGAGATCTACTGCACTGCACTCAGCATGAAGCGTGAACAAGATCGGGATTTTGAACACAAGTCAGTGATTCTATGTGATGGTTGAGAGACTTAGCGCGTTACGAAAAGCATTTCCAACAGACTACAGACATACATCGACAGCCGCCTACACTGGCTCGATACTGAAGATCAGATGGCCAGAATAGTAGGAATAAGCAAGGAGGAACTCTAGTCTGGGATCGAACCAACCAGGAACCCATCGCCCAATAAATATGCAGAAGAACGTGGAGATGGATTGTATTGTATTGGACATACACTGAGAAGACCGATTGGGGACATCACGCACGAACGAGGCCAGGTCATGCCGTCGAGTGGAACCGAAATGGGGAACGACGAGTTGGGTGTCCGAGGCGAGGGTGACATGGAGGAGATTGAGTGAGAACGAAATGAAAGCTTCTGGGCAGTTGTGGAGCCGTGTTGAAAAGACTGCAGAGAAGTGAGTGAAATGGTGACGTGCTACTGAAGCTCTATGTTCCACTAGGAACCCAAGGGACAAATAGTAATAGGATAGGAAACCATAGAATGTGATAATGAAGCTCAAATCAGTGACTTATAGGTTGTAATGATTGAATATGAAGAGACGTAATTGTTTGTATCCCAAATGCTAGTCCACTTATATGTGGTGATGAGTGATGAGTCCAATAGACAATAACAAAGAAAACCAATAAAATGAAATGAAAACTAAACACAAAGTCATATTGTTTACCTTTTTATTCGAATTGATGTAAAGTTCTTCATCATCATTTACTGAATGATCACTATCCGATAAACATTTAGTCTTTACAACAGTAGAAATAGTTGAAATCTTCTGTGACTTCTCTAGTGAATTTGATTCAACAATCATTTCACAATCATCATCTTCACCTTCATCTGAATCATCCAAACGATATTTGGAAAAATGTTTCACCTCAAAAACCCAAGAACCAGATTCTGGACGATATTCAATAAACCTAAACACACAAAGGAAAAGTTTTATAAAAGAATTCCACATTATTAGATTTGTTCACTTGATATAGTACACACTACGATAAAGTATAACTCGATGATGTTTCCATAAGAATTTATTATTACTCATATTCATATCAAAGTAATCATACGACTTTCAAACTTTCTTTAAATAGTTAGACGGTTCTTCATTCCATTACATTGATCTTGGTGACTAGCAGAGGAATCCAACATGTGTTTCGTCCTATTGGTGACTCATCAGTTGGATTCTCCTGATAGTCACCAAGCTCAATATAACACATACCACGAATACGTGGCAGTATCAAGGCTTCCAATTAGGAGGCTATCATCTGCCAACAGAAGTCGAGCAATTCAGCCGTGTATAGCAACGGGAAATTACAAGTATTATTACAACAGTTTTTCATCCACTTATTTTAATGGTAGTAAAATTTCCCATATATTAATATTTGATGACTAATGTCAAGTCAGTGCTGCTATATAGTTCAGAAACTTGGCACGTCACGAAAAGTACTTCCAACAAACTACAGACATTCATCAACAACTGCTGCATACGCTGGCTCGATACTGAAGATTAGATGGATGGCCAGAAAGAATAATTAACAAGGAACTCTGGTTGGCAACGAACCAACCAACAACCTATTGCCCAACAAATATGCAGAAGAAAGTGGAGACGAATTGGGCATACACTGAGTAAACCATTCGGAGACATCATGCACCAGGCCAGGTCCTCGAGTGGAATCCAAAGGGGAAGTGACGAGTTGAGCGTCCAAGGGTGACATGGAGGAGATCGTGTGAGGAAGAAATGAAAGCTTGTGGGGAGTCGTGGCGCCAGGTTGAAAAGACTGCAGAGAACAGAGTGCAATGAAGACGTGCTACTGTAGCCCTATGTTCCACTAGGAACCCAAGGGACAAATAATAATAATAATATAAATATGTGATGAGTCTTTTCTGTTACATGTATGTTAACTGTAAGTTCACTCAACGAAGATTCTGTGACTAATCTCTCTCTCCAAATAGCTTTATTCGATTTTATTATTGTCACCCTATCCCATCACCCTAATAATGTGATTACGATTCATTGCATGCAGAGATAGACGAGTTTCTCTCTCAATTACTTATCTTCGTAGGGTCTACCATTGTATGTTCTGCTAAATCTTTGTGTTCTGCCACTCTGACTGACCCAAATCGGCTGCTTTGACCTACATACTTACTCGACCTCACAATCATGATAGATTAGGTTATTTTTCTTAATTAGCTCTGCTGGATTTTCTTGTTTACACAGTTTCTCTCTGAGTTTATGGGTTTAAATGCCATAGCATTGTTAATCACAGCATTATTAGAAATTCTATGTAAAATTTCTGGCATACCATCTTTACACCACAGAGGATTTAAATTCTCTTGTAGGCATACATATTCCAGTCACCACTAACATTATCATTGCTGTTATCAGTCCTTATAAACTTTCTAATAAATTCCACAGGGAGGTTATCAAGAAGCAGTGCACCTTTAAAATGTTTCACTTCCTTATTTAGATTTTCTGACGTGCTAACCCGATTCCTTCATCAAATCTACCTTGTTAGACATACAGTGAGATGATATAATATCAAGGTATCTATTGGAATGTATTGCTTTCCTATAAACATTGGTAATTAAGCTTCCATCTTCTCTCCTCTTGATTTGGCAGCCCAACAAAGGCAGTTCACCCCCTTCATTCTCTCATTCATAAGTGAATTAGATTCCATCTAATATCGAGTTAATGTGTACGAAAAAACTCTGGATATATACTGATTTTAACACACTAAATGTGTCATCTACATATTGCTACCATACATTTGGAGTGGGTTGAAATGTTTCTAATGCTAGTTGTTCTCATCTGTCCATGAATATGTTAGCTACAATCAGGGATATTGGAGATCCTATCGTTACTCCTTCTGTTCGTTGATATAGTTTGTCTTCAGATTTGAAATCCATGGAAGTTAGACGTAATCGTATCCCTAGCATAATTTCCTGAATAGAAACTTTAGTGTAAGTGTAAAACTTGGACACTGTGGTTGAATGTAACTGCATATTCGATTTGTTTATTGCGTTGATAATACACAGTGATGCAATATTATCTACTTCATGAGGTTACAACCATAAATTATTGTTCATAATCACGTAAATGTAATCATACTACTTTCGACATCTGATTTTTATAGCCATATCAGCTCACATTCATTGTTCTCATTGGCAGTGAAACTTCCCACATATGTGGTATAGATGTTGCATCATTCTTATTACATGTGTTGAATGTTGATCCAGTAAACAAAGAGTCAGTAACCGATCTCTCTCTCCATCTAATTGTGTATTATTTAGTCTGTGTTCCAATTCAGCCTAGATTTTGAGAGATTTCTAATAGGACATAGTACTGTAGCTAAATATTCCGATCATTTATATGTTGGTGTGTTTCTGAAGTCAACTATTGGCCTAATAGGATAACTTGTTTTATGAACCTTAATGGTACCATACCTCCTACTAGGATTATTAGCTTCAAGTATTAAATTAAACCACTATGTCCTGCATCAAATAAACAATCTATCATAGAATTATATTCTAACACAGTGCCCAAGTTTTTGTAATAAATTACACTAAGTGTGAGAGAGTTGATAACATCTCTTGGTTACATGAACCTAGATAGTTGAAGTATGATTGGAACCTATGACCCACGGTTCCAATGTCAACTGTTTGGACCAATGAGTACAGCTCCATATAAAATAGCTAATATACCAAGTATAGATTAGAGTACTAAGCTATGAGGCATACTGATCGTGTGACAGATTAAGGTAGTAATCGATGGCTGCTCAGGTCAAAGTTACCGAATACGTAGAACATATACAAAACAAACTCTTAACATATAAAAATAAAACGTTACCTGGCATCCATTCTTCGAGTAGCTCTTTCTAAACGTTCTTCAAAACGCATTACAGCCAATCGTTCAGCAGATTTAATTGGTTCTCTTGTCGACTTATCTGTAGGCCAGATAGACTCTAAACAAATTTCAGCTCGTTTATTTAAACCTGTGCCTACAGGAGGCTTTTTTTCATCATCTGGATAGACAACAACTTCGCGCCGGCGTATATGCACAATACTATCCAAATTCAGTCCATATACATCAGTAAAACCAGGGAATAAGATGTGTCCGTACAGCTGAATATCAGGATAAACAAAGGAGTTCGAATTAGAAATAATGAAAAACAATATACTACACCGATATACTTCGATATAGATTCAGTTAAATAAAAGCATCCAGTTAGAATGATTACCTAAGAGAAGTTAAAACTAGTAGATGTTAGTTGGTTGGAGGCAATCAGTAGAAAGCCCTGTTCGACTTAGGTTTTGTGCTTGTTGACACTCGTCAGCAAGGCGTACCTGCAACCTCAACGGAACTGATTTCCCGTCTGAGATGCAAACCTGCGTCATCTACTGACTGAGCCATTTGGGCCGTGATTGACCTCCTATCGGACTGTATTAAATATGTTGATTGGTCACAGGGGTACAAAAAATTTCATATCGTTTAGTCCTGAGTGCAGACCGAATCCAGGACATCAGCTCCGTCGAGGTTGCAGATACGCTTTGCTGACAAGTGCCAACAAGCACGAAACCTAAGTGATCCAGGGCTTCCTGCCGATCACCTCCAGCCAACTAACATCTACTAATGTACAACAAGATGCTGAGCCTCCTAGCTTGGTGGTCACATAGCAAATATGATTCATAGGATTCAGTCTGCACTGTTGAAAATGGTTGCTCTCCTGCGACGAATCAATACAAAAGGTAAAACCTGATTGTAAAACACAGTTTAGACTATAACTCAACCCAGTACACGTGTTTATGTAATAAGCTATAAACCACACTTGTATGATTGCATATGACAGTGTTCAATTACCCAAGCTGAAATAGGCGAAATAAGTTTTGAACCTTAGACCCAATGCTTGACTTGAGTTTTTAAACCAACGAGGCTACATACATCTTCACACAAGCTTAAATTGTCAACACTGGTTTAGAAAAGTAGAGAGAATAAAAACAGAAACTTTGCGAAGAGTAAAACCAATAAAAGTGATAAACAAGGGGAAATTATTACATGCTACATATATAGAGGAAGAATAGATCAGTAGACAATTATAGTGTGTAATACGTTAGACAGTAAAACAACCGGATCGACAGAATATGATCTTGTTTAGTGTATAAATTATCAAAAAATACATATTGATTATACGATTTTACTATGCTATCAAATGTAATGAGTCAGTGACACTGAAATCATGGGGTCATTGGATTTCAGAAGAACAAATTCAGAGAAAATTCTCCTTTATAACATCTTAAAAAGGAGTAATCAATGTTTAGAGGAATCATATAATGAAAATAAATAAATGAACACTTACACGACGACCAATAACAAAATCTTCAACTATACATTTCTCATCTTGAATCATCTCAGTTAATTCATCTAAAGTTGGTAAAGTATAATAACCAGGTTTAGTTAAAATAACACCAGAAGGATGTGAAGATGTAACATTCATTTTTGAAGTATTAATATGATCCAAGTCGGATGTATCATTCTGTTGTTCTGAATTAGGTGACTTGAGTACTGAAATATCACCATAAGTTATATTGGAGGGACTTGCTAATAGAGAATCTGAATTATGTTCATCCATACTCCCTTGTAAAACATCACGTACACGAATTGCATCAATTCTATTTTGTCGAGCAGTTGAAACCCTAGGTGATTCATTTGCTATTGAAGTTATTGTATTCTAAGAAAGGAATGAAAAAAGTATCAGATTAGAACATGTTTTCATATAATACAGAATAATAATGTAAGAATTATAGACTAGAATTTAAAGATGACCTAGCATCAGATGTACTCAAGAATCATCTATGCAAATCCATGAATAGAACTTTCTTCATAGCAAAACTTTAGGTGACTTTTATCAAGCGTAAACTATTCTCCGTTTGTGTCAGAGATAAGCTTCCAAGTTTGATCGCCTCTATGTGAATTTACCAGTTCACCTGCTCTTGTGGAGCAAGGTACATCAGCCGTAGCCACAGAATGCTTTCGATACGCATTCGAGAACATGTTCCAGCTTTGAAGAAAGTCTGTTAGAAGTTTGATTCTAGAACATTTGATTGACTTCCATCACTTAACAAATCCAGATAATGACTTTAAAATTATTTATCGAATTCGTCCAAACCTACCATATTTTTTTGTTTTCAACTCCTTAAAACAGCGGAGACCTTGGCTATTCATGAACTAAAACCTGATCTGTGCATACAAAAGAAGTATGTGCAATCACTAATTTTACCGTGGCCATAACATTTTCCCATCCTCACTAGTTTCCTCAACCCCTTTGTTAACCTTTGTATCCACTCCACATATTACGTAATCTACTTTATTATCATCCATACTTCAACTGTTATCATAATCACAAATACCTGTGTCATTATCTATTTTATTATTATTGTCATCATCATGCAGTGTTTAGTTTTCCTCACGCGATATGATTTTTCATATATCATGTATATATTCAGTTAGATTGGGATTAGGATGAGAAGTCCTGACTACGCAGCTAGTGTGAACACGACCAGGCGGTAGTAACGCATCACGGATTCATATGGTAGTCAGGCAAAACCCCGCCTGTGATTGCAGCGAAATAAAAATCTGGTCAGCAGTTGGACCTCGTAGCTCAGCTGGTAGAGCATCGGGTCGGAAACCCGGTGGTCGCTGGTCCGAATCTGGCCGCGGTCCAAGTTTCCATTTCACCTTCAGTTTTCACCCTATATATATACGAATGTATAGCTTGAAAATAAATTCGTTGAAGTCTCTTTACTGAATATCTTGTTCTTAAATGAGTTTCATTTTACTAAAAACAAGGACTACATACATTGGAGTAAGATCAACCAAGTCGAAGATGAGGACAGCTACTCAACGACGATATTGGATGTAGATGGTGCTGTATCGTAAGCTGACAGAAGTAGGAAATATGGACCATTAGATTCCGACCCAATGGTAACGTGCTGGCCAGTGAATCTAAAGGTCCTGGGTTCGACCTTTGGAGGGTGGGGTCGTGGGTGTGCACTGCTGAGGAGTCGCATACTAGGACAAAACAGCTGTCCAGTGTCCCCAGTTCCCCAATGTTCCTACAACTGATGTCAGTTTATGATGAATTCCAACCTAAAATCAATTAATAAATCTCCACAAACCTCTAGATTGAGTAAGATTCTGTTTAACACTAGTAACAACACCACATATGAGAGGATATTAGTTTCATCGCACATACTACTGATAAGAATGAATGAATACTTGAACATGAATAGTATAGATCAGTAGCATTTAAGATAATTCATAAATAAAGAAAACTTAGACATTTACAATTCAAGAGGTCACATCAGTCATCCATCAAGTGAAATGGAACTGTGTACTATTAAATAAAACTCACTTTTTTATCAACGTTATTATTAGCCGCATAATGGTGTAATGATGGTGAATTCAATCCATTCACTTCTCTCAATGGTATATCACCACCCGAAGTTGAATCAATAAGTTTATTCTGTTGTTTACTGGCCTTTCCTGGAATATCTGAATACGTTGCATCAAGAGTTGTTTCAGCCAATTGATTGAATTCATTAGTTATAGCATTCGATCGTTCCAGTATAGAATTTCTTACATTTTCAGGTAGATGTAAATGTCGCCATTCTTCTCTTCGAACAAAGAAATGACCTGTATTATTGTTAGTAGTATTTACAGGGCTTAAAACAGAATTTAAAACACCAGTTGTTCCCATTGAAGCAGTACGTCGAAGATTCGATGGTAAGGGTGAATTTCGATTTGCAGTTGACGTTAACGCATCTTCTTCATAAAAACCTGAAAACAACTGTTTAAAGGGAAATGAAAAATTGAATGATAGTTATTTTCTAAGCAACAAAATTATATGGGGTAAAGTTTTATAGGAAACAAACACTATATCATGCTGTAAAGGGTCTAAGATAATAATGGTCTTCTCCAGACAGTCTATTAGGTCGATTCACAACGGAAACAGTGGGAAATTCACCATCAAATTAGTGTTCTCTACAGTCCTACCGAAGTATACGAATATCACTTTTTGTAACCACTTCGATGCGATAGTCCAAAGGAGTCGAAATGTTCTTTCAAGTTGTATGTTAGTTCCCTACCAAAATGGAAAATCCCGATTTTATCCACATTAACTGTTTATAAAGCTGTGGTTTACGGGGACGACAATCAATCAGTGGATCATGGGTTCAAATCCCGCCTCATCTATCGAGGTTTGGGAAGCCAGATAGTGTCACTGGTTTGGCTCATTGTCTACTGCACAGATGGCTGAATGCGTTTCGTTTGTTTCGTTTAGTCCCAATTATATCTACCGATCTGATGTTTGCTGCTAATGATATTCATGACTGTGATGACCTGTTAGTTGACCAACCACAGCAACCGTTATTGTATCGGAATGAAACATAACCTGGGCTACGACCTCTGGTTGAAGAAGGTGAAGCAGCATTTGACCCCTCGATCCATTTGCCTGACAATTGGACATCTAAGTCGATGAATCACAGCTCCATAGCTGTTACTGGCTAAGCTGAAATTAATTGAGTACCGCATGTGTATGTTCTGTCTGATACGGTATTTATAGACAATGTACCTCAGATGATTCTTCTTCTACAAACTATTCACAACATTGGACGCTAACGGAGAATATTTTTCCATGTTAAGATAATATTGTATAACACTAGGTCACTCAACCAAATTACTTACAGGTACCGATAATTGTGTCGAAAAGTCATGATACCTATTTACTATTTGTAACCCATGAGGATGGATGATAAGTGAATGTTTCAGGCTTAACAACGTTACTAGTTAAAAACCTATTTGTACAATGGTTGAGAGCTGACAGAGTTATCATCAGTCCACACTATGAAATGTTACCTCTTGAAATGCTTGAACTAGGAATCAATAATGTGCAGTTATTAGATGATTAGTGCATAAACCTGTTTACACTTAGTGTGTAGCTGACTGACTGACAAAATCAACGTAGAGCCTCACACACATGCGCATCGGCTCAAGTTGCCACACTTCACAGTAGTATACAAAGGACAGGTGCATAGAAAAAGAGGGATGTCAAAGTATACAAACAATTTGAACATAAAGATTAGTGCGGATATTCACGCTTTAGATGTCAGGGAGTGAACCCATCTGCGCCATTCTGACCGATTTCCAGCCATATTCTTACCAACAGTCCCCAACCACTGATTCTTTTCATCTCAGGGACCTCAGCCAAGCCAAGCCAGTGTCTACATTTTCACACACAACTCAAACCAACAGTAAGAGACTTCATCAACTGGTGCCAGATCTTGTTCTTGTCACCCTAGACCCTCTCCCGACCTAATCCAACTTCACCTAGCACTTTCTCCTTGAAAAAAAGGATAACAGGAATTAAAACATGGAATAATTGAATACTTTTAGTGAAAATATGCAGTTACCTTATTACGATTCGCCACATGGAGAAGACGATGAGTGTTTGAATTCACAGGACGACGAAAGCTTGAACCACGATTACCACTAAGGCCGGAATTGATCGGACTGGAGCCAATTAGTAAATTGGCTGCTCGATGACGTTCAGCGAATATAGTGGCAACAGATTTGGCAGGTAGTATAATATTACTAGCATTCGAGGTACTAGCTAACATATTTTCGGAAATTTGAGATTTTGAAACAGCATTGGAAGTAGGATTTGTTGGTAGGTTTAAGTAACGAAACAATGACGATTGACCATAAGGCATACTACGAACTACTTCTAAAACTTGTTGTTGGGCTCGTATCGCCTGAGCAACTTGATCACTTGAGCCAAGACTGAGACCAGAACCTGCTGGATTAACCTAGTGTTCGAAAACAGTAATAATATAAGCCAAACCATACAGTAAGTTATGAATATGAAATGTATGTTAATATGTTAACAGTGCAAGACAAAGAATTCGTGCTCTAGTTCATTTACAGACGTCGAAGAGTGAACACTCCCATGTGTCACCACTGATTCCTTTCGTCTCCGGGACCCCAGCCAAGCAGCCTATACTTCCCTACACGACTCAGATCAATAATAGTTAGGAATTTAACACACTGTTGCCACTTATTAGTTTGACCACCCCGACCCAAAGATTCATACTGTTCAGTAGTAGTAAAACAGAAACGTACCACTACAACCCATAGAAAATCATATTATTTCAAGAAACAAAGTTAATCTACTTTACGTTCTGGTAAGTATAACCTTGTATTCATGCGGTCTACTCTCAAATTATAATTTTAAGATCATTTTATTAGGAATGTTCAAACCTTTTATTATTTTGAACTTAGCTATTTAACTTCCGTTTTCCGCTTTCTTTTTCGCCTATGCGGGTTCCATTCCGCGTAACCTGCCAATATTCAAATTGGTTCGTGTCACTTTCAACGTGCTAAGTATTTCTTGTCTTTCAGGGTTAATCTAACTCTGTATATGTGCTGCAGTGAGTTCTTACTAGCACACGCACCCTAAGCTTGAAATACCATAAACTTTGATGAATTTCAGTTGGCTGATCTCATTCTCCAAACTACTTGAGTTGAACCTTTTGGCTCTGAATTATTATTCGTTGTATTTTCGCTTTTTAACACCATTCTCCACAACTGATATATTCAAAAGTATTGGTAGATAAAGGTTATGCAGTATAGATAGATGAGACAGACAATTCAATATTTGATACTGATAAGAAATAGATTGACTGTTAGTCACTTGGCAACGGGACATTCTTGGGTATCATTTGGAAAAGTCTTGCTTACTAATATCAATACTTGACAGGGTGTTAAAGAAGTCTGATCCCTAAAAACTAATTTATGTATATATTTCCATCGTAAAATTCAAACCTTATTTCGTACTTTTTCGTCCCATGGAATGTTACTTACTTTTACCGCGCTTTAGGTTACTAAACGCTGATTGGTTCATTTTACAGCATATATGACGCACCATATACCGATTCTTTATCAAACAACTTGATACTCTACGTTAATTTTCACAAAAACTCGCAGTATAACTTGTAAACTATGCGGTCAAATTAAACTGACTTAAAGTGGAATTAAGAATCAGGTTAGCACCATGTCTCGACAACAGTTCTTATACTAATCAATGAATCTACTTATTGTTACAGACTTACATCAGCAACACACGGAGATAAAGGGTCCATTAACATAAAATAAACGCATTCAACAATAATTTTTACTGAACAAACGGTAACTTACAGTACCGAATCCAGTTGATGATGAACCGATGGGGTTGATTGCAGTGGATCCTAAGCCTTGGTTAGCACCAGCACTACCAAAAAGACCACCTCCAAAGCCTCCAGTATTTGGCGCTGTGCTCGTTCCAAAACCGAAACCACTCCCAAACGTACTACCTGCAGGACCAGTCTGAAGAGGCTTTTGACCAAGACCAAACCCTAAACTGGTCTGACCAAACAATGATCCTGAAGTAGCACCAGTTCCGGATCCCAGACTAAAACCTGTAGAACCACCTGGTGTGCCGAACAGACTTGTTCCAGTATTAGGTTGACCAAATCCAAATGATCCAACTCCACTAGCAGTAGTTGTAAGGGGTGTTCCAAAGCCAAAAGGTTTTTTAGCTGTTAACGAATTGGCAGCCGGTTGACCGAAGAGAGTTCCAGACGCAGAAGTTGTTGCAAGGCCACCAAATGCGGTCGGTTGAGCGGGATTATTTAAGCCACTTCCAAAAGTAAAACCAGTTGGTGCTGCGAAAACAAAATGTTTCACAAATCTTAGAATAACATTGGTTTTTGTATTCGCAGTATTAAAAACCAGAATATATTAGTTGTTCAATTGAACCTAAAATGGAAAGACTGCATTGTCCTGTACAAACTAGACTACCACTAGGAGACTTGATGCAACATAATTATGTAGTTTTGATCTGACCATCCCGATCTCACAAACTGGTCCCACTCAAGATGACATCGTACAACTGAGTAGATGTTAGGGTAAGCTTATGTAACAGAGACATAAAATCAATGAAGAATATACCACACAAGTACACCGGTTACAGTTGCTACACTTCACAGGAGCATGCAAAGAACAAATAGATAGAAAAAGAGACAGTTCTAGGGTCAGTTCCTGAGTTTTCAATGGTTTCTGGAATGATGAGGAATAGTGGTTTACTGGATTAAGCACTAGACTTCCAAGCAGTGAGCCCTTGGTTCGAACCCTGTCTCACTTACATAGGGCTAAGCAACCCAGCGAGGAATCAAAAGCATTTATGCAAACAAGGTCGTATTATTATCAGTGATAAAAGGGTAAGGATAAAATATCTGATAACGTACTAGATCCAAACAAGCCACCAGGTTTCAAGGAAGATGATGTGGTGGTAGCCGTATTTGTGCCGAATAATCCAGTTGTCCCTGCAGGTTTCAACCCTCCTGCTGTGCCTAATGGAGAGCCAAATGAAAACCCCGTTTGCTGCTGGGTTCCTTGCAATCCTGTCAGTCCAGAAGTGGAAGAGCCAAACACTGGTGTAGTTCCAGCAGGCTTAGATCCACCGAAAATTCCAGTAGACTGAAAGATAAAGATAGATGTTTAGAATACCGATAAATTTAAACTTGTGAAATCTACTCAGTCAAACACATACCGTTGATCCAAACATAGGACCTGTACCAGTTGTTGGTTGAGTTCCGAAAAGAGTAGGTTTGGCAGCTGTTGACGCTTGACTTGATTGACCGAAGAAACTGGTAGAACCTCCTAAACCAGTAGTCTGCTGCTGAGGTTGTCCAAACGTAAAACCAGTATTTCCAAGTTGTGGTGTGGTTTGAGCAGTCCCAAAGAGAGAAGTACCAGTGCCAGTAGTCGAACTAGCACCAAACAGCGGCTTTGTACCGAAAACAGAGCTAGCTGGAAAACAAAAATATGTACATATGTAAGCAAAAGATGACAGCTTTGCTGACCTGTTGTCAACTGAAAAGACCTCGTTTAAATGCTGCATAATGAGTACAAGCAAAGCTTTATTCTTGGAGTTAATTTTGTTACTAGTTAAACCTCTCAAAATGGAGTTATGGATTATTGGTCTAAACACTTCACTTACAGTCAGTGAGCCCCGCTCTACTTACCAAGGTCTGGATGGTCAATTTTAGTATGCCTAACCCCCACACAATATATAGCTAGCTCGTTGCCTACTGCTCGAACGTAGTTATTGAAATGCAATTTGGATTTATTTCCCAAACACCCCGAAATAAGTATTTACCACACTGTGAAACATAAGTATACATCTGGCCGGAAACCCGGTAGTAGTTGGTTTGAATCCGATCGAGGCCTAAATTTCCACCTCACCTACATGCATCACCCAGTAACAATGGTCTGCCAAACTACGGATGTCTCAGATAGTCAGATGATATGTTGAATAGTTAGGAAGTCTAATGGCACATTAGCTTGAATTAAGTATGGTATAGTGTTAACTCATTTGTTCCCATTTACTTTATATGATGTTCCTTTCGTATCCCGTTTTGATACTACTTAGTGTTTTCGAGTAGTATAGTTCATGTTTCCTTATAATGTTGCTTCATTCGCGTCCTTGACTGTTCACTCTGTTCAATCGTATCTTGTGCACCATCTGTAGATATTAGTGTCTTTCGCAGTTCACGATGGTGATGTAATTTTTTTCGTTGTTCCCTGATGTCCATCAAATCTCGTAAGGTGATTTCAACTAAGTAGCACACACAGAAACCTAACTAAATACCAGGAAGTGAAAATTAGGTTCCTGAGCAGGAAATTACTACAGTATCACGACCAAAGTCACGCGAAGCATTAAATAAAAATGGTATAAATTATCACCATCTCATGGTTGGCATGTGTGCACACAAATCAAATATTGGGAACCATAGATCCAACTGTATAGATAGATAAGATGGAAGTTGGAAATGATAAACTATCATATAAACGCATACACAAGGATTCGAGGTTTATCAGATGCATACACTGGCACTAATCAACGGTAGTAAATTCAGCTTAATTATTTTATTTCTAAATACTAAGCACCTTATCAGCGAACTGAATAAATAGTAAACGTTGGATGTGACGCAACAACATCAGTTTATTATGTCTTATTTTGAGGAATAAGCAAAAGCCCACATAGAAATGTATAAAAAGATAAGTCAAAAAGGAATGTCTATTTAATTTGGGGGTTTGTGGGGATTTAGTGATTCATTCATCATGGACTGATAACAGTCGGATAAACACTGGAAACCTCAGAAGAGAACTGGGCAGCTCTCTCGTCCTAGTATGGGACTCTTCAGCAGTGCGCACCCATGACCCCGCCCTCCAGGAATCGATCCCAAAACATTCAGATTCCTTGGCCAGCACATTACCATTGAGCCACTGGGTTGGAATCCAATGATCCATATTTCCAACTTCTGTCAGTTCACGACATAGCGCGACCATTATCCAATATCATTGTTGAGTATTTGTCCTCACGTCTATCGGGTTGGTGCCACCGGTCACTTCTTATTGTAACTCTAGGAATCGCCTATCGAAGCTAGTCACCAATGAGCACTAGATTCCTAAATTCCTACAAACCCCCTAAATTGATCTAATGCGCACTGGTGACTAGCTTCGAGAAGTGGTTCATGAAGTTCCAATAAGAAGTCGTGACCGGTGCGGCGAACCTGGTGGCAGTGAGAACAAATACTCAACGATGACATTGGATGACGGTTGCACTGTGTCATGAATTGACAGAAGTTGGACCATTGGATTCCAACCCAGTGGGTTTAATGGTAATGTGCTGGCTACGGAACCTGAATATCTTGGGAAGGAGTCCCGGAGGGCGGGGTCATGGATGCGCACTGCTGAGGAGTCACATACTAGGACGAAACAGCTTTCCGGTGTTTCCAGGTTTCCAATGTTCCTCCAACTGATGTCAGACCATGATGAATACCAACTTGAAAAATGAGTCTATTTCCTTGGAATCAATTTCTCAAAATATAAATTACTGAATATCCTCAACAGTTGATCATTGTTACAGTTGAAAAACAGACCAGATAGACTACAATCTAACATATAATTCAAATCAACAGTTAACAACTCAACAAATAACTGTATTTTTGCTTGACCACATTGAAACACCCGTTTCATATCGACTTCTAGCAACAGGATGTCACAGTGGAAGTAGTTGAGAACGAAAAAGCATAGCTTAATCATTTTAGTCGAAACAGGTCGACTCCACGACCCACTAGTTAATCTCTCTTCCCTAATGCTTCATACGACCTATGGGCATACATATCCGAATAATAACGTTTGTATGTATACGGGAAGGAAGAAAGAAGTAGAGAATTCTGTTGCGTTCAGCAATCAAAATGTACTCGAAAACCTTGTACATTATTCATGTTGTAGGCTATACACCACATTTATTGTGTGACGCTTAATGATACTACCTGGCTGTCCAGATTTTGATAAGTGGAGTGGGGTTTGAACCCGCGAATCATCGGTTGAAAGTCATCTCCCTAAACCAATCAGTTATAGCAGTGAAAGAAACTAATAGCGTCGTAAAATCTTAGTACAGTGACCTGGAACGACGAAATACTATAAGAACTTGGTTACGAATAGTTACTTATTACCTCGACTATGTTTGATTTAAAGGTGAATCAAAACAGGTTCATCGATGCAGCCATCTCGTTCGATGTGGGTATTGTGACAAGGGATGATATTCATGTGTATAGTGAGCACATCATTTTGGAGGGTCAGAGAAGAACCGCTATAGTTTGATACTGTTAAAATAAGTGGCATTTCCAATCTTATCCTATGGCTTACCTTTACAAACACCTTTTTCGTGAGTTCGACACTAGATAAGGTTTCAGGTTGACTTTAATTACAGGAATAATACGTGAAAATAGTACTCCTCTTGAAGTATCAACGACCTTCACATGGTCTATGAAATCTCTTAGTCTTTGACTTCGATTATAGGCTTACCATTATAGTGTAAGGATCTGAGGGTGAAGTCATACTGTTAACTGGACAGCTGTGTGACAGTATAAAGATGTTTCCCTTGGATGACCAGTAGTGCCACGCTGATGCTTCGTTCCTAATGGGAAGGTGGGGTTAGGGAAAGTCGACCCTCAAAACAGTACACCACCACTCCTCGCAGCATGCCGATGCCTGAAACAGGGATTCATAGTCGAATTCAAAATCAAAAACCGAAAATCTCAAACTTGTCAAAAGGCCGGTTTCAAGATGTTCCATGTGCTCTGTGGTCACAAATCTTTTCGTTTTTCTTCAAGTACCTGAAGAAGAAATAGCCTACGACGATGTGGGTAGCCGGGAAGCGTCAACCGCCAGCACACTTCCAGTAGTATACAAGATGTAATCAAACATAACTTATTCTCCTCAACTCAGTTTGCCATAGGCTTAGATAAGAAAAATAAGAAAACTAACCCGTAATTACAAAAGGTGATGCTTCTGTCGACGTCACCTGAGAGATACGAGGAACGCACGTTTGTTACACACTTTGTTGGTAATGATGCTGCTGCAGTCTCTATTATATCACAGGCTATTTTTTCACTTTTTTAACATCTGAAGTGGCACTGTTAAACACGCGAGTTTGTTTAATGGCATACTGCATATCTATTAGTGAGCAACACTAGCCAAGTAAAATCGTTTTTTAGTAACCACCTAAAACTAACGAGACAATTAAATCTGTTCCCAAGTGTTCAAGCCTTAACAAAAGTGAGGAGTCATCCAAGCGAGTAATGAGGATTTTTTGATTATTAAAAAGGGAACACAGAACTGACTTAACATCACTATCCAGTACAGGAGAATTTCCAGTTTTTTTTACATTTATTATTTTCTTCCCTTGGTTTCCCTAGTGAAACATAGGGCTTCAGTAGGACGTCTCCATTGCACTCTGTTCTCTGCAGTCTTTTCAACCTGGCGCCACGACTCCCCACAAGCTTTCATTTCTTCCTCACACGATCTCCTCCATGTCACCCTTGGACGCTCAACTCGTCGTTTCCCCTTTGGATTCCACTCGAGGACCTGGCCTGGTGCGTGATGTCTCCGAATGGTTTTCTCAGTGTATGCCCAATTCGTCTCCACTTTCTTCTGCATATTTGTTGGGCAATAGGCTGTCGGTTAGTTCGTTGCCAACCAGAGTTCCTTGTTAGTTATTCTTTCTGGCCATCCATCTAATCTTCAGTATCGAGCCAGCGTATGCAGCGGTTGTTGATGAATGTCTGTAGTTTGTTGGAAGTACTTTTCGTGACGTGCCAAGTTTCTGAACTATATAGCAGCACTGACTTGACATTGGTGTTGAAAATCTGGATCTTGTTCTTTATGCTGAGTGCAGGAGTAGATCTCCACAGTGATCTCAGATTAATGAATTTCCAGTTAGCTTATGCATTTTCGTTCAAATAAAAAGATCAGAACTGTACATTAGCACTGTAAAACACCAAGTTAAACTAAGGATCCAGGTGGACTGTCACTAAACAGTATAAGCAAAACACTAAATTTAATATATGAATGCGGTAGATTACATTATATACTCTAACCATAAGTTGAGTCGCTTTGATGACCCTCGAAATGTTCGAAGATTACAAGTCTGTATCAATTAGCGTTAAATAACTAATTGTATTTACAAAATTATTTCATAGTTCCCTTTTTCGATGTGAATAAGACTCAACCTGTAATAATCTCACACAATATTTAATCAAAAATAATAATTGAAGTAAATTCATCTAGCTAAACGCTTACTTTGATTTGTCTGACCAAATGCAAAACCGGTTGACTGTGATGTTGGAGTTGAACCGAATATACTTCCTGTCGTTGTAGTACCAAATTGAGGTTTTAAACCCAAAAGGCTTCCTAAGACGATAATATATATATAAAATGATATCCGAAATCAGCCATGAACTAGACAAATGCAACATTCTATAATTGATAACTGTTGATAGGTAGATATCCATTAATATTTTAGGAAGTATGTTATGTTATCAAAAACAGATGGAATTCACAGAGGACCCAATAACGGTGATAGTGACTGTGTATGCTTGCTAGGAATGACATGTACTCACAAGCAAGCAATATAAACAACTGGTGATGCAGTACACTGATAACTAATCATCATCACCAATATCAACATAGAACCAGGCATTACTACGTAACGGTCCGAGTTGCCACTGCTCATATCAGTACATCAAGTAATAAGGCAGTGAGGCGCAGGATGAAGATAAGAGAATGCAGTCAAAAGAAATATAAAGTACGAAAAGAAAGGAAGAATGAGAAAGTGGTGAGATTCGGTGTAGCGTCGTTAAGATGAGGATAATATGTGTATACATCTGAGCCACTGACATCGGTTCTCAGCCATATCACCTGGAGTCTCCAAATACTGGTTCATCTTGTCCCGCGGACCCCGACCACCTAGTCTACGTCGCCCCACACGGCTCAAACTAACAGTCACAGACTTCATACATTGGTCCGATGTTTTAGTCTGGCCACCTCGGGTCTCTTTCCAGCCTGGACCTACTTCGGCCAACATTGTGTGACGAGGCAATCGGCGACCAGGCATACGTAACACGTGTCCCAACCATCTCAGTCGATGATGGTTCATAACCTCCTCAACAGATTTACCTCTTCTCCCAAAAACTCCATACCTGACTTCTGCGTTACTCACGTGGTGGCACCACGGAGTACGGCTTATACTACGACGGCAACGGTGGTCAAACACTTGAAGCCTTCTCATGTCTTCCACCTTCAATGACCATGTTTCACAGTCATACAGTAGAACAGACCGGACTGTTGTGCAGTACACGCGACCCTTAATAGACAATTGGACATCACGGCGGCGCCATAGGTGGTGTAATTTGGCGAAAGCCAGCCGAGCCTTTTGTATCCGTGCAGAGATTTCATCGGCCACTGAACCACCCCACATCAGGGCTGATCCTACTTCCCAAGTAAGTCAAGTGGTGGACACAATCAACCACTACACTCTCTATTGTTAGCCGTAGCACCGTTGAAGACCAATCCTGGAGCAACAATTTGCATTTGGGTGGCGAGAAACGCATCCCAAACATTCTCAAATTGCTACACAAAGTGTTCAGAAGGCCCTGCATCTCGTCAGCGTCTTCACCTAACAGGACTATGTAATTTGCATATTCTGGGTCTAACGAAAATTCTCCTGCGATTAGGTCAACGTCTGTGTAATCAGGTGACGATAGGGAGACCTCCATAAGAATATCTATGATAAAATTGAACAAGAGTGGAGACAGTGGGCACCCTTGACAGACATCACTCGATGAGCATGATAACTAATAACCAACATATAATGATCGATATTATTCTCCAAAGGAAGCGTTTCTTGTTACAACACTGACGAATAACAACTACTACACAGGTGTTCATCGACGCGTTGACAACAAGTTTTAAGAATCCCACAGTAGTACCACCTAATAGTAAAACTTTTTATATGCTATATGAAGTTTCTATTGATCTGACTAGAAGAGATACACAAATAACTGGAAAAATGAGCCAGTTTTTTTGCAAAAAGACTACTACAATTGACAGTTTTTTATTACTGATAGGAAGCAGCCTACATGAAAACCAATATTTTAAGCCATCAGGCAATAAGGCAGAAGTTTTGGATTTCATCAGCCATAATTTCATGTTACTGTGTGGTTAAGAAAAAGCTAATTGGCTAATTTCGTCCTACAGCTGACCAATCAAAATAAATATCCAACTTTTGACCTAGTTGATGAAAATTGTGCATAAACGATGTGTTTTTGAGAAATAAAGTGTCTTCCTTACAGTCAGTCACAGGTCAGTATTTGTCTTCTGATTTTTGCGGCTCAGTGAAGTACCAGGTTTGAGAGAGAACAGTCGCTAAATGTATACACTCCAAGTATCTCATTGCGTTAGTAGCGTTCTCGTATGACGTACTATTCCGTCAGTCACTTCAATTGGCGACTGGTGTTTTTTTAATATTTCACTACATCTATTTCATTGGATGATCTCAAACCTATTTTACAACTTTAGCAAGTTCAAAATAAAGCAACTCAACTAAAGTGAATCGAAGCTTTTACATAGAAGTTATCAATTCAGTCACCGTCAGCATCTTACTCAGATATGCAGACGTAACTAACTATTATTAGCATCCTATGATCAGTATTCATACATATCACTAAGAAAGATAGTAACATATGAGGAGGGGGGAGGAATGAGTAGCGCTGAAAACATCATTACTTCTCTTCTCATCGAATGATAATGAACTTAATACAACAACCATAGAACAACTACTGGCTAATTTGCTTGTTCGACTATTGATCAGAATATACTCCTTATGAACATTGCAAGACTAACTGGATGGTTAGATTATAATAGATAGTGCAACTCAATTATTCAGTTTTATTGTTTCTGAGTAACTATAACACTGTACCTCCAATCTTAGGAATAAACTAGTGTAAGATACTTAGAAATTTAAATAAACATAGCAAATGACCAAGAATGATTCATAGAGGTGATTATTCTTATGAATTAAGTCAATACTATTTTTGCGGTGTTCATTGTATACACGTGTAGTATAGAGTGAAGTTTTAATCATAGAATACTTATAGCAGGACTATAATTAAAATCAATCCTACCTTGAGAAGATTGTCCAAAAGCAGACTGAGTGGTTGTGTTATTCCCAAAAAGTAGTGTATTACTGCTACTCGCACCACTAGTCGATGCACCGAATAAAGTGTTTGCAGGTTTACTAGCCTGACCGAAAATAGATGTTGTTCCACCAATTTGAGATGATCCAAATTGAAATGGTTTTGCAGTGGATGATGTAGCAAAGATTGAAGTGCTACTCGATGACGCTGATGGACCACGACGGTTTAAAGCATAGTCTTCTAAACGAAGTTCCTGTAAATCAACATATATCCAAAATTAAGTATGCTCATGAATAATGAATAACATTATAGCAATCATATCCTGACCCCGAGTCGCTACATAATATAGAATAGGTTATTCATTTATCAGCACTATACATTCTACTCTTACATTAGTGAAACTTACGGTCATCCTGTTTGCAGACTAATCACTAAACTTACACAACTTTCATAAACTGAGGCTGTTACTAAGAAGAAATGGAGGTATAAGACAAGGGTGTGTTGCTATCCTTGATATGAATATGAATGACAAATTACAACGGGAAATTGCAAGTATCAGACAACAACTGATACCTACTGTACAAGTGGTGGCTCCCGTGCTCCAGTGGATAACCCGCTGAAGTTTGAAGTGATCGGTTTCAGGTTTCAGTCCCAGTGGGACCAATATCACCAAGGTACATCTAGCTGATGAGTCCCAAATAAAACAGAACACGCGTCGTAGATTCCACTGCTAGTCACCTAGATGAGGAGTAAAACATCATAAATATCCGGCAGCACTAAAGCATCCGCACAGGGGCCCATCTGCCAATAGAAGTAGAGCAATTCGACGCTGTATAACAACAGGAACAACATAAATAATAAATTTCCTTCGAAATGTACAAGTAAATAGTTCTATTTCACCGTGTGAAATATCCAGCAAATAAACTGACGTCTTCAATTCTACATAAAACACGACCACGCTGTTTTGTTACTAATCCTCTTCTTTGCCTTTTTCAAAATCGCTGCTACACTTCTCTAAGAGTGACGTCAGACTTGTAACGACTTAGATTCGAAAGACAGTATCTTAGTCTTCTGGAACCATACTCCACATCACTGCTGAGTTTTTCTATATTTGCATCCTTTATAACCAGATAAAGGGGTAAGTCATAACATGGTTGTTAATAGTGAACTCTTACAATACATACAATAAGTGACGGAAATGGGAGAAAAAAAGCAGCATAATATAAAGCTGATGACAACATATGCTGAGCGATAAATTTTACGACAGTTCTTTATATTATGTGTATTACACAGTATTACTTACTACTTGAGTTTCGAACAGAATTTATTGCCTATATATATATTTTATTAATTTGTCCCTTGGGTTCCTAGTGGAACATAAAGCTTCAGTAGCACGTCTCTATTGCACTCTGTTCTCTGGGGTCTTTTTAACCTGGCTCTACGACTGCCCATAAGTTTTTATTTCTTCCTCGCGCGGTCTCCTCCATGTCACCCTGGGACGCCCAACTTGTAGTTTCCTATATTCTCACACAACTTTCCCATCTAGTTCAACTGTTCATCTTTTGACTTGTTGTATAATAAAATTTTCCACATTTCCAGAATTAGTTTCCCATCTTTCCTATTACATATATCATGTGTCGATTCGATATACAAAGCTTCAACCATTAACCTCTCTCTCCGCTTACTCAATTTGTCTCACTATATCCCATCCAGTTGTGTATGACATCATGTACGCTTATCACTGAGCTGTTTTATGTTTTTAATCTTGCTAGCGCATAAATCTTATATTTAGCTTGGTTTCGATGTTCTGCTAACCAAATTGACGCTGACTGGTTAGTCACTAAGTCGAAATCCTACTCGTTATGATCATAGTGATGAATATTTTAAACACAGAACATGGGATAAACTTGACAGATTCGTGATTATACTCGCTGAGATATTGCAGTTGATGAGAATGTCATGCAAGGTGTCATGATCAGGAAAATATTTCAAAATCTATACTGACAGAAAATTCTAAAAACATTACCTCCAAACTTTTGTCCTGATACTCTTTCATGGCGGTGATGCACATATGCTTAGCATTCACTTGTGATGGCTGGCCACTACGTTGTAATATTTCAGTAGTGACTGGAGGATTAAAGGCAAATGACGTGCCATTTAAGCCTACATTTGCAGATCCCCAAGAAAGTGTGTTCATTTGGTTTCCAGAGAATAGTGTGTTTGTTCCAGTCAGACCACCTGATTGTTGACCAAACAAGTTTGTACTGGCTTGTGTCTGCGGACTGGATGTAGCTCCAAACAATGTGGTATCTAGAAAGTAAGTATCACTATGACGAACGGACTTACTTTGACCAAACGCAGAGTTAGAAGTTGCGCCAAATGTAGCTGTGAGTATTTTAGAGTAATTTAACAGAAAAACTTACGCTTATTTGCTCCGAACATGGCGATAAGTTTATTTCTGTAAAACTAGATATAATATCCCCTGATCTGCAAAGATGAAGAATAAATATAAATAAGCCAAAGCACAATGAAGGGAGTGTAAATAACAAGATCTACCGAAAATTCCTTATCCAGATATGAAAATCTCTAGGCTAAATAGAGTTCGAAACTACCTACCTGGCACAGAAGTGCATCAATTTGTTGCCATGCTCTACAGTGGGGTTTCGGTTTAGCGATTTAGGGAGATGACTATCAACTAGTGGGTCACGGGTTCCAACTCCACCTACCGAGGTCTGGGCAGCTAGGTAGTATCACCAGCCCTCACATGACAGGTGCGGTTCATTGCCTAGTGCACGAATGTGCGCAAGCTTGCTGAGTGCGTTACCTTTTCATACTCCATACAGCAGTAGGGAGAAAAATAGGATGATATTAAAGTAGTGTGTAAGAGAGGACAGTAAGTACAGGAAAGTTAATTAAAATGATCGACATTTTGAAGATAATAAAGACGAAATACATATGCACTATTGTGACTGATTTCGAGTCATATCACAAGTTTCCCACTACAGATTCCTATCATCCGTATAATCTTAACCAGGCAGCCTAAAGTAACCGTGAATATTTATTTAGTAGGCAGCGCCCCATACTTACTTTGTGATGGCTAATGATACTACCTAGCTACACAAACTTCGGCAGGTCTACAAAGGCCTTAACCGTAAATTGTGTGACAAATGAATACCTGGGTACTAGTAAGACTAGTTAGTTCAAAAAAGAGTGTACTGTTAGTAACGTTTCAGTGTTTGATACTATACAATGGGAAGTGAGGTGAATATGATACTTCAAATAAGCCTAAGTTGTGATGTTTTCTAAGTAAACAATGCTGAGGTATGTAGACCTCACAAGTGGGATATATGAACGGTTAAAGTTATTGGTTGGAGAAGCTGCATCTTATAGGTCAGAATCGACCACAGTGACTTTTATAATTTCACCTTCACTGGAATATAACAGAAAACCAACATAGAACCAGGTATTACCGCGATGGTCGAATCTGCCACACCTAATATCAGCACACTGAGCAAGGACACAACAACATGAAAAAGAAAGAAAGCAGTCGAAAGTGGTAGGAAGTCATGGAAAGAGAGCAAGGAGTTTGACGATCTACATGAAGATAATGTGTGGGTAAATCTGCACTACTGACACCGACTCGGAGATATATTACCTAGTGTCCAAACATCGATTCCCGTTGTAAGACAGGCCACGACCAGGACAGACAAAATCACGTAGAACCTCGCATACAAGAGCATCGGTTCAAGTTGTCATAATTCACAGTAGTATGCGAAATACATGTGGATAGAAATGGCTGACGTCAAAGTAGACAAACGCGCATGGAAGAAGAGATTTGAAAATGGTCACGTAAAATGTTTAACCTTTAGAAGACATCGAGGAGTGAACATATTTGCGCCGATGTGATCGATGTTTACCCATTTCACCAAATCCTCAACCACTGATTCCCATCGTTTACGAAAACCTAGCCTCACAGTTAACACCTTATACGGCTCAAATCAAACGTTACTGACTTCATGCACTGGTGGCACGTCTTGGTCTGGCCACTCTTCCAACCTAATCCAACTTCTCCTAGCAATGCACATCAAGGTAGGCGCAACACCTACTTTTAACGGCCAAGCCTCACAGCCGTATAACAGGACAGAACGGACTGCAGCGCAGCATACTTGTTCGTTAACAGGCAGTCGAATATCACCCTATTTAGCGTCATAGATGATACATATTGTCCATACTAAACGGGTCTTCTGTACCCAGGCTGAGATTTCGTTAGTAACCACCCCATTCTGATTGATGGAGCTCCGCAAGTGAGTAAAGTGGTTGACCCATTCTATCACTTTATCCCTAAACAACTGGGAGTAGCTACATACTAGTCCTGAAGAACCGTCTTACATTTGATAGGTGCAAAACGCGTGTTCGCGAAACATACTCATATTTATGCTCGACATGTTCAGAAGACCTTCACCTAGCAGGAAATGCCTTCTGCGTACTCCAAGTCAACCCGATGACCTCCGGAAAGTAGATCAATCCCTGTCAAGTCAGATGTACTTAGGGTTATATCCATTGGTACATTTATAACGAAGTTGAACAGGAAGTGATAGCGGACATCTATACCGAAAACCACTAGTTGTTGTCAATTCAGATGGCAACTCTATGTAGACCCTCACACAGCTACTAGAGTCCGAGCAAACACGTTTGATCAGCATCACACACTTGATCGGCACTCCGCTGATAGACAGACACTGCCATAATGCCTTATGGCTGACGGAGTGAAATGAAGTCAAAACATGAAAACTGTCGGCAACCGGTAGGTAGGCCTATGTTTCATAACCTAATGAAGGCTGAAGATTTGATGAATGGACTTTCGTCTCGGTCTGAAACCTACCTCGTTCCACCAAGTTTGCTTTTCTCAAGCTCCAGTTGAGCGCCGATTAATTATTAACTCAAGTATCTTGGACACGACGTTACTTAGACTGATTCTCCTATGGTTATCATAAGAAGACGTCTCTCCCTTGTTATACAATTCAATTAATATTTGAAGTAAACCAGTGATGGGACGTCTGATTTCGCTACGTAGTACCTCCGTTACTATACTCAGTAATTCGTAGTCGTGGGTTAGTGAGAGTGCTGTCACGTTCAGATAATTGCTTAGCTACCTACTCCCTAAATAGGTACTTCACGTTCTCATCTTCCGATCGAGCACACGGGGCTTAATTGTGCTTATTTTCTGTGACCAGTAAGGTGGAGACATACACATACCCGTACTAACGCGTGACAGAAGTTTAAACAGGCACGCCAGAAACAGAGGAAATCTCCAATGATGACATAGAGCACAATGATTCATTTGTGTGGATCGTTGGTTTCAGTAGGAGGTTCATATTTTCTGATACAACTCAGAACAACAGTTAAGAACTTCAGGCATTCACGCCATTTTTTAGTTTGGTCTCCTCCAACCTTTTTGTAGCCCAAACCTACTTCGGCTAACATTGAGGGACGGGGTAGACAATAACTAGACATACGTTACACATGTCCCAACCATCTGAGACTTACGAACTCATCGATTGACTTTCCTCTGTTATCTAAAACTCTACGCCTGACTTCTACGTTACTAACGCAGTCACACCACGACACACGAACTATGCAAAGGTGCTCAAACATCTGAAAACCGATCTTTTCCTCTACCTTTAATGACGATGTTTCACAATCATGTAGGAGGATAGAGAGAACTGCGAGGCAGTACACTCAACCATAAATATCACACCAGTGCCATAAATAGAGTAAGTTGGAAGAAGCCACGCGAGCCTTTTGCATCGGTGCAGAGATTTTGTCTGTCACTGATCCAGCAGCGGTGACTCGACTTCTCAAGCGAAGTCAACAAGCTCAACCATTAAACTCCCTATCGCTAAACAAGGAATCAAGGCAGACTGGTTCTAGAGTAACAATATGTACTTCAAAAGCGGGTAACGCATTCTGGGTGCCTTGGGTCTACTGAGAAGTTTCCTACAACAAGCACAATGCCGCTAAAATCAGGCGAGGAAAGGCCCGTATAATCAAGTCTGATACAACCAAATAAAATTGAAGGAAACGAATATCCCCAGACAAACACAATTCAACTGTTACCCACACTGTATTACAAATGGGTGTTTGAATACAGAGCTTTTAGCCAAGTAACACACTTGTCTGGCACCCTTATCAGTGAGACACTGACATAAAACCTCTGAATCAATGGAGTCAAATGCTGTCTTTAGGTAGGCAGTATAAATTCATCTTCAACCCCCCCCCCCCCCCCAAAGTGGCGTAATCAACACCTTGACGGCAACTGCTCCTAATTTTACGACTACCTGAAAGCCTCTCTTTTGCGATAAGGCATCTAGGAACAGTTGTTGCAGTCATTATATTCTGTCGTGTCATCGCGATATCCAAACCCAACCACTATAACAAGGTATCATTTATCGGCATGAGACTAGTCATAACCATACACACGTATTCTTTCGCATTTCCATTTATGCGCAATATTATTTTGTTGCAACTTTCGTCTCTCGTCTTTTATCGACGTTTTAGTTACTAGTGATATGCTTGATACTTTATATCTGATACTACGACGAGGTGCTTATGCACGAAATCGCTGGTCATTGAGTTGAGCCACACAAAAACTTGGCAGTGAAAGTGACGATCGCTAACTTGAGGTGATGCGGTTCAAACACTCTTGAAGATGAAGCGACCAATAAACGGATTAAAGGATACACATAAATTAGCAAGACAATAGTAGATAAAGCCTAAATACATACAAAGTAAAAGTTATTATTTAGAACAGTTTACAGGCTAGTGGCGTTAATGTTCAGTGGATCTTAAGGAAAAAAGCAAAGCCACTGAATCTGTAACGGTATCGACAAAGAGGGCTTCGTATTCCAGAATAACGTCTACATTCAAGCGCAGTGTAACTCAGTCAGCTAATTGAGAAAGATCAACGTAGAAATTGTAAGAGGTGCATCCGTCAAAGATACCGTAATACACAGTACCAAATAAATAAAAAACGAACTGAAACAGATATTTAAGTAACCAGAAGTCTGCAGAAGGAAAGTAAAATGAGTGAAGACTAACGGAAGTGTCGTTACAAAGATGCTAAAGCGTAAATATATGTGCGCCACTGTCATCGATTTCTGTCACCTAGAATATCGTGTTAGTCTGGTAGTGAATCGTTAAAGCATATGCAGAACTGCAGGCCAATTGGCTGAGATGCAAAATAAAATACCCTGAAGTCAAAGAAATTAAATATTTAAAGTCAACCACGGTGACACAGCCGCATTGGCTCGCTTTGGTTTGAGGAGAAAATAATTTACTGATTCGATTCTATTCGAGATCCTAGTTTTCTTTTTATTTCCTGCACAAAAATTTGGTTGTTAAGATAGACGGGCTGTCGAAACTCATTTTTACTTTCTCTAGTATCATTGATACACCATATTCTTAAAGCCCCCAACATCGGGCACTTTTCACGCTTGATTTACGTGAGGTGAAAACTTACTTTGCTATGAGAGTGGTGATCGCAAAAATAAGAACTATTTATTACCAAAGGCATGAAACGCAGCAAATGGCCAGTTTTATTCACATAGATTTTCCGTTTTTATGCAACAAAAAATTACTTTTCGCCAGAAGTGAGGACAAAGGAAACTAATAAGAACCATCATAAAGAGGTCACTATGAATTCTCATCTTATTGGTTTCCAAAATAACGAAGTGTTTCCCACATATGGATTGCGCGCAATGGCACATAAAGTTTAGTTCATTTATCACGTAATCAGTATGCCGCGTAAACCCAGCTTTGTCGTTATCTAAGCGAGAAAACTGCATACATGCACCGACAAATTCTAGGAAAGACAATTCATTAGAAGAAATTCAGAGAATGGTTAAAAGTCCACCTGAACTTGAAAACCGACGAGAGGCTTGTGAACTTACAATTTTCCCTCGGTATTAAACTAAACGAAAAGTAGACTGAAGCATGCGCACGGTTATAAGAAATACATTTTAATGTGACCTGTGCATCCCTTTCACTAGATCAAAATGCATCAAAAAATAGCAGGAAAGGTTAAGATCGAAAAGAAGGGTATCAAAGTGTTAGTTACCACCTAAAGTCCACTTAAAACTCAAGCATGAGGTAGCGAATCACATCTCTGGTCGACACTAGAGAAACCATCTAGTCCCCAAACCAACATATGTACAAAATTTCAACCAGCTAATCATCAGGAATAATATAGCGACGAGACCGCTGAACCAATAACCGTAAGGTACTTTAAATACCTTTGCTAGGAAAAACATATTGTTTGCTGAAAACTCAGTTGATATTCACTTTGACAGAACGTTGGAGAAATTACGCATGGTAAAAAAATGTTTCACAGACACTCCGAAAAGTTTTGAAACCATAGGCCACACCTTACGTCAATGGGAATTTCCAAAAGACGCTTGAGTCTAAAGAATATACTTTATCCTTAAATGAGCTTGCAGTGTTCAACACTACTTCTTAGCTAAATTTAAAAATCGAGAAAGTGAGTGTAAAATCAACTGATAACTCTGACAGGAGTGACGGCTGAACCCATGCATTCTAAGCAGTAGTGAAAGAAAAGCTAACGATATTTTTGATACATGAATAATCTCATCATAATGTCAATAGTAATAAAACCGAAAACCATATGGATTTCGTAAGAGAAACTATAGATATAGAATCTCACATACCAAGCGACTTTAAAGATCATCTCAACAAGTACTGAAGTAGCCAGCCACACTTTCTAGCTTATGAAAAAACCACCTTCGCAGTCGAAATATAATAACCTGACTACCTGCTAAGACGAAATCCATACCCACCTGACCAACCAGACATCAAAATTTAGATAGCCCGCTGACTGCACAGTTTACAGAAAACCCGGGTGAAGTGAGTTCCTTTAAAGACCGTTTGTTGATATGTGTAAACCTGAGAATTTTTCCCCAATCTTCACCTCAGAACAACATCTCCAGCCTCTTGAAAGCCTGTGGTAATTGCTCTGATATCTGAACTGTTTTGACTCATCTTTAGAGCTGTTCAGCTTTATCTGAAAGATCTCTGAGCTCACCTGTTGAGAACGTAGTAAGTTAAATAAAACAGGCTACCAAACGAAAACCTTTTAAAATCAGTGGTGAATACCGAAAGTGCATGACTTCCAACATCCGATATCCAATACTGATAGTGCAAGCGTAGAAAACTGGTAGTTTTTGACCTCTCGCGTCTAGTTCTTAGGGCTTGCTTAGAGTTGTTCGGTCCACTCCTGCAGTGGACGAGGAAATCCCCTCTGCTTTCTTGCTTTTAGCTTCGGTGAGGTGGATGTTTTGCGGGTTATTAAGTTGTAATTTGTAGGGTGATTGGGGAGCTACGGGTTGCTGGGAAGTTTGGGGAACTGCCGTGACTCCTATCTGTGTAGGTACTCGAAAGAGAATAGTAAGGTAGTGGCAAAAGAACAAAGAGGGAATAAAAAAAGAGAAGAAGAAGAAAATAATAATGAGGGAAGAGAAGAGGGAAGGAGAAGAGAAGGAGGGGTGAAAAAGAGAAATAAGAACGAAAGAAAAGTATTTAGGAATTGCGTGAATGGTCGCGTGGGTTTGGTTCCTACAGAACAATTAGTGGGTAATGCGAGTGTATTAAGGAGGGAGATAGTGAGTGGTAGTTAGGAGGGAGTTGGGGGCTAGTGAGGTTAGTGACTACCTGAGTACGTCCATGGTAGTCCATGAGGGGTGACATAACTAACTAACCGTCTCTTGAATGAGCCGACTGAGGGAGCTATGACGATATGTCGCGGTAAGGCATTCCATAAAGCACACTCTTAGGGAGAAAAATTTGGACTTGAGTATGGTGTTGGCTCTCTGGCGTGCTATCTTGGCGGGTTTCCTTCGTGAAGACTGTTGAGTTGCAGGCAAAATTGATTTGCTTGCATGGTCTGCCTGATGGGCGATTCTGTGTGCCATGATGAGGTCACCCCTTTTCCTGCTGTAACCCAAGGTAAGTAGGTTTAGGTGTTTAAGCCTTTCAGAATACGTCTTTCTTCTTGGCCTCAAAACTGATTTTGTCGCAGTTCTTTGCATTCTTTCAGGGAGATTAGAGTCTCTCTTGAGTGTTGGAATGGCCACCGTATTGAAGACCTCTAGATGCGGCCGCACGTAGGATTTGAAAATGGTGAGGAAGAGTTCGGGAGTGAGGGCGCCAAGCTGTCTACGCAAAAAGTGTAGGATGGCGTTCACCCTGGTTGTCCCACCTTTGTAGTTGGAGCTGGTGTCCAAGGTGTCGGAGAAGTTGAGCCCCAAATCTTTCTCCATGGACACTCTGGTGATAGCACGGTTGCTCAACATGTACTGGAAGTCGGTCGTACTTGCTTCATTTTTACTGATGTGCATTACTTTGCACTTTTCCAGGTTGAAGCTCAGGCCATTTTCCGACGACCGGAGCTCGAGTTGCTGCAAGTCCTTTCGTAGTGCTGTACACTCAGCTTCTTCGTTTACCACCCTCCAAATTTTTATGTCGTCAGCGAAGAGGAGGATGGGTGAAGATATTTATCTGGCAGATCGTTGACAAACAGGAGGAACAGAAGCGGTCCTAGGATTGCTCCTTGGGATACTCCTGACGTCGAGGGTCTCCACTCCGACCTTATTCTGTTTACTTTAGTGCAGAACTGCCCCCCTTCCAGGTACTCCTTGAACCAAGACAGTAGGGGTTCACTTATACCAGCTGACATGATCTTGTGAAGCAGTACTGTGGGTGGGACACTGTCAAATGCTTTGGCTAGGTCGAGAAATGCAACATGTACCGGTTTCTTGTTATCCCAGCTTTGTGCCCAGTCGTCCCAGGAGGTTAGTAAGTTGGTGGCACACGAGAGACCACTCCCAAAGCCATGCTGAGTGGTGTGGACAGTGGTTTCCCTATTGAGGAATTCCCAGATGGTGTCAGCTACCAGGCTTTCCAACACTTTCGACACAATAGGGAGTAGAGCAATCGGCCTGTAGCTGCCAGGGCTTTTTCTGTCTCCTTCCTTGAAGATGGGTGACAAGATGGCGCTCTTCCATTCTTTAGGGAGTTTGCACGAGTCTATTGAGTGCTCAAAAAGGTTGCGAAGTGGTTTAGTAAGCACCTCGGCGCAGTTTTTCAGAACCACTGGTTTTAGGTTATCGCAGCCAGGGGACTTGCCCGGACGTAGCCTAGATAGCTTCTCGAACACTTTTTTCTCTGTAATAGAGACGTGACAGAGGTATTCGTTATTTACGACCTGGTCGGTGTGGATCTTGTATCAGTGCTGAGTTGGGCTTGGAAGTGTGAGCTCAAAAGCTCGGCAATCTCTAGACTGCCTAGCACACTCCCGTCATGGCCTGTGACAAGATTCACTCCCTTACTGGTCGACTTTCTTCTTGACATGAAGCGGTGCAAGTTTTTGGGTTGCTTTGTAACCTCGCCGCCAAGTTTGTTTGATAGGAAAATCTGTCGTTACGCACTCTAATGTTACAGCGGTTGCGAATCCTTTTGTAGTTCAAGAAGTCAGACTCCCTGCGTGATGTACGCCACTTGAACCAAGCCTGCTTCTTGCTCTGGATAAGCCTCTCTGTCCCACGCTTTAACCATGAGGTTCTCATTGATTGTCTGTGTGTTACTTCTGGTACACTGTGACTGATGGCCCCAGTGATTATTTTCTTCACCTCCAACCAGTGTTCATCTATTGTGAGATGAGTCCAGTCTACCGGCCATGATGCATTCATGAGGTAGTCCCTCATGGTCTCATAGTTGGCCTTGCTGTAGCAAGGGAAGGTGTTGGGCGTCTCCAGTTGCAGAGCCTCCCTAGTTATCATGGAGAAGGTGATTACAGCGTGGTCACTGAGGCCAAGGGGAGGTTGGATGCAAACATCCTCAATGAGAAGTTCATCGTTCGTCAGAACGTAGTCAAGGCGCGATGCGTTTCCGTTAGGTCCCCAGCGTGTAGCATCACCCACTTTCTCTGAGAGGCCAGCAGTCTTAATTGCATCCTTCAGCTTCTGATTGAAGGATCTGATGCGTCTCCCTTCCATCTCGAAGAGGATGGACAGGGTGTCAAAGTCGCCGGCAGTGATTATGGAGTCGTATTTGCTGAGGAAGTCGCTAAGATCGCCTTGACGACTACTTCCCTACGTGAAGATGAGCTGGTGGGGGACCGATATATGACTCCGAGCAGGTATTTGGTACATTGGAGGGTGAGGTAGCACCATAGAGATTCTGGGAACCGGATTAAGGCCATATCTCTAACCACCCTTGCCTTTAAACGGGAGCTTACGTAGAGAGTCGCGCCCCCTCCTGCTCTGAGCACCGTCCCTGCGGAAGAGTTCCATGCCAGTGACATGCATCTCTTTGTCGGAGATGTCCGGCGAGAGCCAGGATTCGGTGAGGAATATGATGTCGGAGTGCTGATGTACACGCAGCGTCCTCATTTCTGCTACCTTCCCTCTTAGCCCCCTAACGTTGCTGTACATGCATATTAGAGTACACCTGGTGAGAGGGGGGAGCTGGGTGTGTATTTTCGCGGGATGAGCGCTTACGTGGTTGGGTCTAGCGCCGCCAGTCCTCACAGGGCTGGTATTGTTCCCTTTTTTGCGTCTTGTTTCAACTTGGGTGGGGGCTGTGGCAGTGGTGGCTTCTTTACTTGATGTATCTAACTCACTGGTCAGCGCCTGTGTGACGACCACTGACTCCAGAGGTCTTGGTGGTTGCCGTCTCTCCTCTTGCCTTGTGGGTCTAGGCTTACTTTCACATATACGTATTGAGCCACCCATGCGATCTTTCGCATTATACCATGCGTGCGGAACGTCTGTGAGGGAGGCATATGAGTCGAACTGGACGGCGAGTAGTCTGGGATTGGGTATGGTCTTCAGGTGCGCTGGCCTTGGCAGTCTACTGACGCTGTTGGCCGGTATACTGTCGAGACCAACTTTGGTTGAGAGCCATTGCCATTGTTGGACGTCGTGAAAGTACCGATCTTTGACCGAGCGGTCACTTGGCAATTCTGGAATCCCATGTACAACTATAGTGTTGTTTCTGTTGGGATTTCCAACCGCTGACTTTCTCTCCTCCTCTCCTATTGACCATGGCTTGTCAGGCCTGGCCCGAATTTTACAGGCATTAACAACGTCCGGTTGTCGCGAGAGGAGGGTGTCTTCAGCCTCTTTGGCAGTATTTAGGGACACACGTAAGGGGGTGGCTTATCTTCGGGTGCACGGCTTCCTCGAGAAAGGTGACACAAAGTTGCAGGGAGAGGAGGGAGTCCCAGCATCTGACAGTAGTCGGTCCACATTCGGCTGTCAAACCGTTCCCTCTCGACCAACAATGAGTCTGTCGATACATCGACGTTGAACAAAATGATCGAGTTGGTCCTCCTGTGACCTGGGTTCGTTGTGGGTGGCACACCCGACTTCCCAATGGGTTTGAGTAATTCCACTGGTTGTTTCTCAGTCACGGTGTGTGGGATGTTTGGAATGGGTTTCGTAGAGGGTTTAGCGGTCGATGTCTTTGGCCATGCGCTTGACGTTCCCTAGGGCCTGGTAGGAGGTATGGAGACTTGACCTAATGTGGTCCCCACGCGAGGTGGCGTGCCGCAGCTGGAGCTCTAGGTCTGTTTCCAGGTCTCTGTGTTATCCTATAGTGTTAACCCTACTTTATTCGGGGATGCTGGTAGCTTTTGCGTGGCGGAGGGCATCTTCTTGAGGCTTTCTGTGTAGAGTGCGGGCATTTTCCTGAACTCTGGACAGATGTAACAGAACCACTTGCATGGCTGTCTCTTCATCATCTCACAGTATTGTCGGGGGACTTTGGTGTCACATTGGCAATGAGCCCATCGGTGACGTAGGTTGCACGCAAATGCCTC